CACACACCTCACCAACACACACACCACCAACACAACTCACCAAACACCACACACACCAACACCAACACAACACACACACAACACACAACACACACCACACAACACACACCACACATACACACCAACACACACACACACCACCAAACACACACACACACCACCAACACACACCAACACAGCACACACACACCCAACCACAACACACACACACACACACCAACACACACCACCACACCACACAGAGAAAGAGAAAGATGGGAGAAAGAAGAAAAGAGAGAGAGAGAAAAGAAGAGAGAGAGAAGAGAGGGAGAAGAGAAAGAGAGAGAAAGAGAAAGAGAGAAAGAGCAGAAAGAGAGAAAGAGAAAGAGAGCAGGAGGAAAGACGAGAGAGAAGAAGAGGAGAAAGAAGAGAGTAGAGAGAGAGAGAGAAAGGAAAGAGAAGAGAGAGAGAGAAAGAGGAAAGATAAAGAGGAAAAGAGAGAGAAGAGAAAGAGAAGAAGGAGAAGAGAAGAAAGAAGAATCTCTTTCTCCCTCTTTCTGGAGTGAGTGTGAGTGTGTTTGTGTGTGTGAGTGAGTGTGTTTGTGTGTGTGAGTGAGTGTGTTTGTGTGTGTGAGTGAGTGTGTTTGTGTGAGTGAGTGAGTGTGTTTGTGTGAGTGAGTGAGTGTGTTTGTGTGAGTGAGTGAGTGAGTGAGTGAGTGAGTGAGTGAGTGAGTGAGTGTGCGTGCGTGCGTGCGTGTGTGTGTGTGTGAGCGCGCGTCTGTCTGTGTCTGTCAGGCGGGCATTTTGCCATCAATTGGTTTTCCTCCTTCAAGGACCACCAAAATTTGGATTCTGACCACACAATTTGTTAGTATTTTGTACTTACTACATATGAGTGTTTATTGAATTTAGTACATATAGAAACAAGATTTATCCATGTTTTTGTACCCTGGGACAGACATTACAAGTTTTTCTATGGAATAATCGCCTCTTTCTGACACAGCATTACACATTCTTTTTACTAAAGAAATGTAGTAAAGAGAGACAGTAAAACTTGAAGAAAACATTTGTTCATATTTTGAGAACAAACGAATGGTTTCTTGCGCAATCTGGATTTTTTCTTGGCCTTCATTACTTAATTATGATGGCGTTAAAAACACACAATATAAAAATAACAACTGAAACTCACTAACCGGAATATATGATTCGCCTCCTCCCCCTCCTCCAGAACTTGCACCTCCAGGTTGGGGACCACCGATTCGTGTTGATCCTTTTGTGGGTCTATCGAGCACATTTGATTTCTTGGTCACCTTCAAGTCTGACTTTTGGGTGCTAGGTGTATAGCCACCTTTAAGGCTAATGAGTATAGGTTCCGCATCTTTCCCTGACATCCATTCTTCAGCAGTTAAGGCAGGTGTATCTCCAGAAGTATCTGGATATAAATCTTCTTGAAACAATTCAGACTGCAATTTCAAAGAAAAGGAACACACTTCAATTAAAAGACATGTCTAAATATCTCAATAAAATGCTTTCTAGGAAACTCCTAAAATACATCTTTTAATAACATTACAAAAATGTGATTCAACTCGTTTAAAATATTCTAAAAATTTCTGTGAATCTTATTGAAATACTTCACTCTAAAACCACAGTAAAATAGTACTCCAAGGGGTAGAATATTCATGATCAAGCCTACGAGGGGGATGAATTCCTGTGGTTCTATTCTGAAGGTACTTATCAAATCTACGTTGACATTGTTCTAAAATTTGACAAAGGCCCTTACGATTTGTTGACCACATTACTGAAGCTTATTGAAGTTTAGATGTAACAATACTGAGGAACAACATACTCAATACCTGAACAGATCTCATGAGAAAGCCTGACGTTTTATTGACACAAAGTACCAATTGCTCAATATGTGGCTTAAGTAATAATTTAAATCAAATATTACACCAAGAATATTATTATATATATAATATATCAAATATTACACTGATGGATATCACTTGGCCACTTGTCCATCGTTTATTTATTGACAGGTTGTATAAATACCCAATAGTTAACATGATTTACACATGTCACAACTTCATGAGGTAATAAACCTGTATGCAAAATCAGAAAACAACTGTAGATGCTTAAATACTAATTTTGAGTTTTCAATTATTTGATTTTTTCAAAAATTGTAAATACATATATGTAATTATTTCTTTGACCGATTGATTGTTAGTGATTCTGGGTGAGCCCGCTACTAAGGTCATTAGTCCCATAAGTATAGTGCATGTGTTTGCTTGGAATGTCGTAGTGGTCTTCTCACACTGGATGGGAAGATACATAGTTGGGTATTCCCCAAACAGTTATGTCCCACCACCAAGCCGAGAAAGGCTCTAAGCTCCTGACAGGTCTCCTGGCAAGTGTGGTATAGTAGTACTTGTTAGTGTATTTGTGGGCAAGGAGTGAGGATAGGACAACGAAGAGGTACTTGTCAATTAGGAATACAATGAAGCGAAACGCACAAACAGTTCGTGCTTATTTGCCTCTGTTTTCGTATTTCTAGGTTATTTCCAGGTTATTCCACACTTAAACTACGTGTCTCCGGTGTTTAGCGGTTGCCATGGAATCTATACCTCTCTTATTCCGTGCTCGAGTTAATCCATGTTTATTGGTAGGAGTTTTCGCTATTCTGGGCTTAAGCACAGAATAAATGTTACACCACGTTTATTGGTAGCGCTGAAGATGAACAATGTGAAAATGAAATTGCAATGATGAACACCAGATATCATAACTGCAGAACATTATACAGCACACTTAATTTTAATCTTCTGAACACGCAAGATTGAAAAGTACCGTCAGAATTCCAATAGTTTTTACAAGGCCTACGTGGGAGCTTTGCAGAATATTGCATATTCTCGTATCTGATGACTTAATTCAATCAATCACACATGTTCTCAACAGTATTTCAAAATGTTTTGAATCACTTAGTATAATTTTTCATCATTAATGATATGGAATTAAATGAATCTCTCATCACAACTGTTTCTAACCTCCACGCGATCAAAATTACATTTAACAACAATATTCAGCCAACCACAGCCAGCTGTTAATGCTACTCAGCTGACTGTCGGAAGAATATTTAGCAGAGAGCAATGCGGTCTTGGGTTACGCTCATCTGTTATAGAAGCTGTCATTTTAATCGTTTACTGCCCTGAACACTCTGTACTGTGTAATGTTCAAAGTCCCAAACCCAGTGGGTGACACATGATCATTTCACAGAACCTTATTCGGCAACACGTCTACATTATACAAATAACGGGTCATCAACGTTAGTATGTATGTAGACTGGACGTATTATGGGCATACAAGAATGAAAAAACGCATAAATGAACAACACATATGTGAAACAATTTAATATGGGAAGTATAGAAAGTTAGCTGTGACTTACAAACAATGCATAAACATGAAAAACAGGAGTGCAAAATGTGTGAACAGTTTTACTGCATTTGTTTGGGGACAAAGAATTTAAGATCAGGAACAATCGTGAGGTCATCAGTGTTGCTGGCGGGGGTACAAAAAGACTGTATTTTCAAATACATCCACTACTTTTAATTCTAATTTAATTTTTTCCCTGAAGACTGTATTACAATGATAATCATTAATAGTTTAATAACATTAAGGCAAAAACAGTAACATCTTGTATACTCTTTTGCCATTCTTCATTAGTAGAGATGACAAAAATTCATGGGAGAGGAATGATGATGCATCTGTACTGGTGAATAGTGTAAATGCAGGCATTCCCCATAAGCCTGCATTTTCATATCTAACAAAGAGGACCAACAAGCACAATGCTCCAACAGCTGTTGTCATCATTTCTGTTCTTGTAGTCTTTTCTGAGTTTATAGTCTGAGAGTATTATTAAATTCATGAAGAAGCACTACATAATTTGATATTTTTCTACTAGGTTCACAGTGTTCAATGAATAAATACAAATATTGTGGCTTTATCTAAAACTCTGGAGAGGTTAACACTCTTTTAATGGCCCCACATAATTTTATGTGTTAGAGACACTCATGCATGAGGTTGACAGTGCTAACACAATTGGCAACTGTGAGGAAGCATTTGGGAAGTGAAAGTGGAGGCAATATCAGAACTCACTGGGAGATAAAGGTGAACAATGGGAGATTGAGGGTGCTTTTAAATTATGCTACCTTAATTTCTGATCTGTATTTTTGTAGTGTTTTCTAATGGAATTAAATTAGTGTTTGAAGAGTCGTTTAATTAAGAATAATATGCATAGGTAATAAGCACAATATTACTAATATTTTTTAAAAATCAAACAAAGTAATTTAAGAAATTTTAGCGTATTAGTAACAATTAGTATGAAATGAATGTAATGGCAGAGAAACAATTTCCATACATTAAAAAAAGATTATGTTCAACCTTACCTTTCTTGGAACTGTCATGGTGATAACTTGACAAAGTCCTGAATTGTTTAACCTAAAAAATCGAGTGATCTCACAGGAATTCACATCACAGCCACGTTTGGGCATCATACCGATGCCTCTCTGGGGATCTGGTGTTTGAAAAGTGTTGATATAATGCACAAATGGAGGCTCTGCAGTTATCTCAAAGTAACGAATAACACTGTCACCCTGAAAGAAAACAATTAAATAATAATAATCATATAAAAGAAGAGAGAAAGAGGGCAGAGAAGAGAGAGAAACATGGTACAGTTAAACTTTAGTTGTACGTTTTGCAGGGGACCGAAAGGAAAAAATGTATAAGTGAGAAAAACACATAACTGAAATAGATTATGAGCAAAATAAAAACTCAATACCTTTACATTATTGTTTTACCAGTTTAACCACATCTTTAGCAATATCTACTTTTTGAATGCCACTCTCCCTAACAACTTAAATTTTTTTTTCTTATCTGATATTCAAAAGGGTTGCCTTTTCTTACAACTCTTTTTCATTACATATCGCGGATACAAAACCACATAGAAGACAAACTATACTTCAATTTAAACACAGAGCCTCAGAGTCACAAATTATACAGCTGGTCTTGAAAAAAATATTGCCGGCTGATCTTCATTATCGAAGAAGTCTCCCAAGAGGTGGAGGTAGGGGATACACATTGGGGACCTAACTGATGACCTTGTGTGTTTCACTGCGGAAAAAAGGACGGTGTCCTGCGTTGAGCTACTAATTGTGGCAGTGATCTGCAGGTGGTTGCTTGGGTTTCAAGTTTGATGTTACTTGACGTTCTGCAGGCCAAAGCACAGTGTTCTATGTGGGTAACAGAAAGTGCACAACTGCCACATCCCCACAACCTGGCGGCACCCACTGCGCTGTGCAGAAAAGCTATCAGTTTCATTAGCTGCTGGTGCCACTCCAGTACCAATGGATTTCATATGATATTACGGTGGGCAAAAGGGCCTTTGGAGACTGGGACAGTCAATGCACAAACTTCACTTATTGATCATCTAGGTCATTACTCTCCAAGGGGTGCCTTTGATCTTCTTTCAGAGCTAGGTGTTGCTTCCTGAGATCGTCAAAGAGCTCCCCCAATTTTTCCAAGTTCTGCTGCTGAAGGTGACCTGCAAGCCAACTTTGGACTATAAAAATGTTTACCTCTCCATAGGCTTGGTTGATCATGGACCCTCAGCTTGGCCGAATTGAGCTTCAATATTATGTTTCAATCGCGGGAAGTCGCCCCAAGAGGCTCTGCGGCGACTGGTCGCTTCCTGGGAGAGCTCTGAAGCGTGCCAACTCGAGTAACATGAAAGTTCCGGGCTCTTAGTTGAGGTAGCCCCATGCCTTAACGGGATCATTTGAATGTTATATCATCTTAAAGGGACTTTTATTATGAATGTATAAGTGTGAAAAATGTATAAACCTAAAATGAATAACAGCAATAATTTAGGACGGGAAATATAGGAATTTATCGAGGACTTACCAAAAAAACCTATAAAAGGAGTTTCACTGTAGTCACAATATCATTTATAGTTCAAGTTATCAAGTATCCAGTTATAAAAAGTTGGATATAATTTGTCCAATGAGAGTAAATTATGAGTGATTCTATACAGCATAAATCACGTAATTTTAGCATCTATTATAAATTTTGAATGGATGAAGTTATTGCAATGCAGTTTTCATAGAAGTGCATTAGGGAAAGGGATTAATTGATATGTGTAATCATTTCTATTTTATCACTTTTATATTACAAGATAAATGAGGTAACTTTGTTCTTTCAAATGGAATTATACATATTTTTTAGTGTATCATGACAAGCCTAAAAAGACTATTCCAATGATCTGTCAGGAAGTTTTATTTTTAATTATGTGTAATCGTAATTTGCATAAAAGACTGGCCTATTACAGTTTTACTTTTGCGAGTAGTCATAAGACATTTTTTCTTCTGCGACTGCATTATTTGAAACTTTTAATTGCTATTCAAAATTAACTCATATATCCTTGAATACATGAAGAGAATGCAGCAACATACCTTTCCACACAAATAAACTAGATTAGTATCAGGGTCGTAGAGGGGGAACATCACACCATTGCTGGTGTCTAGTTCAACCATCACAATGGGCTCATTGAGATGTTCCGGAGCACGGAGGGAATATTGCCTCTCACTCATCTTACTGAATCCAGTTGTGAAAATAAGTCCACTCTTCAAGTAAATGGCACGCGTAGCTTTGCTTCCTTCATGACAAACAGCTTCCTGAAAAAATAGAATGCAATATTTTTAACAACATTACATCAAGTCACAAATATTGTCGCTAACTACTTATTAAAAAGATTAACATTTTTTCAGAAAGTAATATAATTTTATAAGTAAAAAAGTCACATTATGAGGTAACAAAACACTAATGATACTTCAAAATAAAAAGGCCATAGTCTTCTATAATCACCACAACTGCATGTTTATTAGGCATAATGCCTATTCCGATTCTATCAGTGAAGCAGGTCATTCTTCCTCCAAGATCTTTTTTTCCTCTGGCTTTCTTTTTCCCTATGGGCTTATCCCTTTAACGCATCATTTGCTATCTTTCCTCTTATGTGGATGTGGGTGAACCATCCCTTCTGGTTCAACGACCTCTACCATTTTCTTTGTCTTGAACTTCTTTCTAATGAGCTTGTTTCTTTGTTAGTCTAATTTTTACTTTCATATGCACTAATTTACTTTCTCTTTTATGGAATTCTTTGAAGTGATATTATCAGTCATCAAACATACCTTCAATTTCTGAGGTTCAAGAACAGAGCAATTTTCAAAGTGAAAGTATAATTCGAAAAGGTGGTATAAGCCAGAGGTCAACTGTTTGTATGGAAAATGTTGTGCTCTCTCCTGTCAATCAGATAATACAATATTCCTGAGATCTGAGAAGAACTAGCTGTTCATTCCAGCAAATAACATGATAATAAAGGACTGCAAAACCAACCAAAAAAGCAATGTTGCTGCTGTGGAAGAAACCCAGCAAGTGATTACAACAAATGCACCTAATGTTCATCAGTTGAGCTATTATTGCAAAGTCATCAGATGGAAATTACTTTTTAAAGTAACCAAAACTGCAAAAATGAAGTGTCGGGGTAATTGATGTTTTTTTTCTCCATTTTCTCTCTCCCCATTTTGTTGCGCAGAAGATGGTCTGTTCCTTCCATAGAATACGTTCGTGTTTTTGTGAAATAAACTGACATGTACTGAAAAGTCGCTCCATTAACAATCATTCCAGGGAGACGCCTTCAAGATTGTTTGTTAAATAACCGGTCAGAGAAATAACAGTAAGAAACCAATTACAGGAGAGGTCCTAACACCATTCTTTACAACAAATTGACGGATAGGTAAATAAAAGGCTAATTGAAAATTATTAGGATGGCATTTCTGAACTACATTTGGTCTTAATTACTTACTGGGTTATGTACTTGGTTTTTATACTTGTAAGTGACAAATAAAATAATAATGACCAATCCAAACCGTGGATTAAACAATCAATACTTAATAAAATAAAACACACACACAATATATGGGGGTTCCATCGAAAGAAAAGTTCTCCATACTCCTAAGACAAATATAAAACCCTCTACAATTAAATAAACAATACCCTACAATCAGATAGAATGCTATATGTAAAAAACATAGGGGTTAAAGTAAACAACTACATGCTTACATTCACCATCAGATCATCTTTACAGTAGAAGTCCTGCAAGCTCTTCACTTGAATAATCAAACAATTACTTTAGATCCAGCAGAAATAGAAGAACATGAAACGGAATTTCAGTGATTCAACTCAATAGAACCTGACTGTTCTCTAATTCTACTGTGCCTTGATCCTGGCACTCAGTTACTAGACAGCATCAATTTACAGACTGAAGACATTGTGAATGTTGAATTACATCTGGGCCAAAATTCATCTCCCTGTACAGAAACTATTCTCAATTTATTGTTGAAGAATTGTGCAACAGAAATAGATTCTCCTCAACACACTACTTTGCCGACATCAATGAATTCTCAAAATCTGTCTAATGTTGGAAACACACCATGATAAATTCAATCTTCAAGAAGGGAACCTTACAACTACAGGCCAATAAACCTGTTCGTAAGGACTTGAAATTATAGAGAGTAAGGTGTTAGATTTTACTCAATGTCCTGAGATTATTTCTCAACAACAGCACATGTTTGCCACCAACAGACCCACAACCACAAATGTTCTTGCCATCATGCAAGCAGGGATTAAGGACCTAGATGACAATAAATCTGCAGATGCGATCTATCTTGACTTTGCGATGGCATCATCAATGCCTATCGCACAAACTTCACCATCTAGGCAACTGTGGCTAACTCCTGAAGTAGCAGTAATCTTTCTTGTACACGTAGGCTTCTGTGGCTCAGGTTCAAGACTTCCAGGCTGTCTGGGTGATACTGCGTCGTTGGCTGAGAGGCCGACGTTTCGTCTGTCATATCGCAGGACAGACAGGAAGTCAGGAATCTTTCTTGCCTGGACGGACATTCCAAGTGAAAATTGAGGAACTTTTGTGAACTTCCTGCCTAATCATTAGGGTATACCACAGGGGTCAGGCCTTGGACTTATATTATTTATCATCTAGACGAGAGATATGTTTAACTCAAGAACCAACTTATACTTAAACGGTGATGATACAAAAATATATACCAATCCCCTTGAAAACCCTGACTATCTACACGAGGGCCTAGAGAGTGCAGTCGATTGGATCAGGAGATGATTGATACAACTCCATGCATCAAAATGCACATCGGAGAGAAAAGAAAAGAGAGAAAGGAAGAAAGAAAGAAAGAGAGAAAGGAAGAAAGAAAGAGAGAAAGAAAGAAAGAGAAAAAGAAAGAAAGAAAAAAAATCTCGAAAACATTTTTGAAAATTATCCCAATTCTAAATTTCTTGGTGTCTTCTTATACTTGGTGATTTCAATCTTCCGCATACTAATTGGTTTAAACATGAAAACATTTTGAAATGTAACTTTACTAATGCATCCAATTGTGAAATTGATGTTAGCCTACTGATTTTAAATTCCGCGAATTATTTGAATTTATTACAGCTAAATTATAGTTACAATTCGGATGGTAGGATTTTGGATTTGATATTTGCTCAAGATTTTGATTGCGTTATATTTCTCTACAAACTAAAAATATCTTTCTCTCCGATTGTGAATTTTATAATTATAATTTTAACTTGGCTGACTATATATATCCATAAATAACGAATAGTGCTCTATGAACTGGCTACATTATTTCACAGAAAACAATTTGGAATTTTCTATTCAATATTTTTATGAACTATTATACACCTTGATTGACGAATATGTTCCTAAATTATATACTCGTACTAATTCATATCCACCTTGGTATTCTAAGGAATTAATTCATTTACTAAAACAAAAATTTATTGCACATAAAAATTTTCAATTTTCATTACATGAACATGTCTATTTAAAATTTTCTGAACTACATAAAATATATAAAAATAAAAGTAATACTGATTATAATAACTATATTAAACAAATTGAGAATAATGTACCGTCTAACTCTAAAACGTTTTGGAAATATGCTAATGCTAAGAGAGGTATAAAAGGTTTACCCAATGCAATGTTTTTGGATGATTTACAAGCATTTGAGGGCAAAGATATTGTTAACCTTTTTGCTGATTACTTTGAATCAGTGTACGACTCAAATGAGTGTGTCAACTCCAACATTGTGAATCATTATTTCGACACTCCAATTAACATCGGTGAAATTGTAATTACACAGAGAAAAGTGTACGATGCTATATCTGCACTTAATGCCAACAAAGGTGTCCTGATTTTATATCACCTTCTCTTATAAAGAATTGCAAAACTAATCTTACACCTATTCTTCATACACTTTTCTCTAAATCCCTCAAAGTTGGCTATTTACCAGATATTTGAAAAAAATGTTTTATTACTCCAATTCATAAAAGCAATGACCGTTCAAATATACAAAATTATAGACCGATATCAATAATGAGTGCATTTCCAAAGTTATTCGAATCAATTATAACAACGAAACTTCGACAATTGTAAATGCAATCTTGGTAGATGAACAACATGGATTTAGAAGTAAGTGTTCAACAACATCTAATCTTTTAGTGTTACAACATTATATAATTGACAAAAGTGAAAACCATTCACAAGTTGATACCATTTATACAGACTTCGCTAAAGCATTCAACAAAGTTAATATTGATATACTAAGGGTGAAATTGAATCATATTGGTATTAATGGGGTATTTTTGGATTGGTTGAAAAACTATCTTACCAACAGATTCAAAATGTCAAATATAAAACCTACGTATCGAGACATCAATGTAACTTCTGGTGTTCCTCAAGGATCGCACCTTGGGCCTCTTCTATTTTAGATATTTATAAACAACTTGAAGTTTACTTTGCCCGATTGCAATTTCTTACTTTTTGCCGATGATTTTAAAATTTACAGAGAAATAAAATCATTGAATGACTGTTGTGAGCTTCAAGAATGTTTGAACTCACTTATTGTATGGTGTAATTTAAATAAAATATCCTTGAATATCGATCTATGTAAAATAGTGAGGTTTTCCAGGTGTAGGTCGCAAATTGTTTATATATAAATATAACGAGTCTCTATATGAATATAACGATCTTGGAGTTATTTTTGATCCTATTTTGAAATTTGATACACATATTAATTATGTCGTTAATAAAACCAATCAACTACTTGGATTTGTTATGAGAATGACCACCAGTGAATTAAAAAATTCTTCCATTTTAAAGACTATATTTTTTGTTAGCAAGACCAATTTTATTATACGCTTTTCCAATTTGTCGCTTCATTATGACATTTATTTGAGAAAAATTGAATCAACTCAACATAGGTTCTTTAACTACATTGCTTGGAAACTTCAACTTCCATCACCGAGGTTCACACATAATTATTTTCATGTTGCATGCTTAATGAACATTAGCTCACTACATTTTCATAGAAAATTCAATGATTTTATATTTCTGTATAAATTGATAAACAATGATATTGATTGTACTGCACTGTTATCCAAACTAAATTTTAATGTATCTATGCGAAATACGAGAAATAACAATAAAACTTTTTATATTCCAATTGAGAGATCGAATCTCGAACATAATGCACCTATATGGCGTATGAGTAGACTTGTAAACACATGTGATATAGATTTTTTTTTTTACATCTCTATCAAATTGTTCAGATTTGGCAAGGGAGAAATATGTATGCGAATACAATTAACTTATATTAAGTAAATATTGAATGTAATGTATATTGGATGATTGCCTGTTTGATAGATAAATAAATAAAAAAGAAAGAAAAAAAGGAAAAGAAAGCAAAGCAAAGAGAAAGAAAGAAAAGCAAAGAGAAAGAAAGAAAAGGAAAGAGAAAGAAAGAAAGAAAAGGAAAGGAAAGAAAAGGAAAGGAAAGCAAGCAAGCAAATTCAACCTTCAACATAGATAAAAGTACATGGATATCATCAGTGCTTGATTTATACAATTTTAGGTGCTAGAACAGGTACCAAAACATTGTTTAAGAAAAATAGTTATATATGTATAATAAAATTTAATAATTATTCCCGAGGAACTGCATTCCATTAGGTTCCACCAGAAATCAAGCCCTGGGTGTCACAACAAACGATTTGAAATAGGAAGTTCACATCAACCATGCTGTGAAGAAGGTGAATAAATCATTATTCCTGATTTGAAAAGCCTTTTATTTTTTGGCAAAGTCATCTTTCATATCACTTTTTTTAGTGTTTGTGTGTCCATATTTCATCAACAATGTAACTCTAATTGATGGAGTCCAACATACAGACACAAAGATCCTAGATATTAGATCTTACGAAGTATGATTGAGCAAACTAAACAATCCACCTTTTTTCTGTCAGAAGACAACACATAGACACTAAACCTTTAAAATTTTCTACAGACACTATGTGCCCTGAACTAACCAACTTTTACACGAGATCCGCCAACTGAAACTTAAAAAACAATATGAAACTGAGGAAAGCCAAGTTTAGATATATTAACCACAAGAACATCCTAACCGAAAGTGGATCTTTGGAACTGCCTCCTACAGGAATTAATCGCAGCTCCCGGTGTACTATAGCTTAAATCACTTATATAACACACTTGACAACCTATGATATTATTGTTATATTGTCATTGCATTGAAATTGTATTACAAAAGCAAGATATAATTATATTAATAAAAAACTCTTAAAATCTACTTTTACATGTTCATTGATTGGGGCATACTAAGTTTTGCTGACACCCTATAAATAAAACACTAAATGTGCTTTTATCACCATTAGCAAACAAACTGAAAGGAAGTCTGTGTTAACAAAAAATTGGCTCCCACACAGATTTTCTGGAGTGTTTGCAAACAATAAGTCCACATACCATTGATCAAAATAGCAGAACTTGTTGATCCCCTGCCCAAATCATGTTAGTGCGCAGATGTCTCAATCACCTATTTTGACACTTGTACCAAAAGGATACTGAAAAACAAGAGACTATTATAATATGTGTGGACTATTTATTTTTAGGAGGTATTTGTACATATCAAAGAAATTTATAAAACCAAATATTAAAAGCAGATGTTCAGATGACACATTGTTGCTTTTCATTGCACCTGAAGAGTTACATTTGGTCATTGTGGAAAATAACATTCGTTCTATGGTAGGGGATTCTATTTTCAAATACTCATTAGATAGAAAAAAGTAATTCTGAAGGAGTAATAATTTGTATAAGCCTATCATTTTTACATCTGATGTCTCATATCCAATGGAATTGATTGTAGACTACTAAGAGCAACGAAGAAACATTTTACATGTGAGTAAAGCATACAGTTGTTATTTTCATTTTTAATTTTGATACGAATAGCTCACATTTGACCAGCTATTTATCACATCACTGCCAAGTAAAATTTTTTTCTAAGATATTGTACTACATACTGCAATCTGTACTACAATTTTGTATTGTTCTATAATCACAATTATAATGTTTTATAACATACAAGGGTAAATAATAAATTCCAAACACTAAAGAAATGCCATATACAAAATGGTTCCAAACAAATATAATACCAGTTAAATTAAATAATTGAAAGCGTGCCTGGAATAAGGATGCAACTAACAAAATTGACAAAATAAACATGTAAGTGTAATGAAAGTGTAAAGCCCCATCGTGGCATGCTACTTTCCCATACGTGTAATAGTTCTCTGATTATTAATAGTTAAACATTGTATTCCATAGACATCATATGTAACATCAGTTAAGATGGCCGAGTGAGCAGGTGAAGGATCATTGCTTGGCATGCTAAACCACATTAATAAAAAGGAGGTGTCTAATAAATGTACATAATTTTGCAGGATATCATAAGAAAATGTTTCAAAAATCATGGTGAAGAATATACCACAAAGAAAGGTGCTACGAAATTTGCAAAAGAAGCTTCTACTGAGGTACGTGGAATAGAAGTGTAACATTTCTAACCAAAATGTGCAGAAAGCAAAAAAAGGGAATAGTACTATACTAATACTGAGGGAATGCAAAATACCTTACACGATTTTTTAATTCGAAAAGCAAAAACATGAACGCCAATTAAGAGGTGAAAAATGAGGAATTATGTAAAGAGTTGTGGGGAATGCATGTCAACAGAAAATGAAAATAATATATTAACTAAATAAATTTTGGACAATTAAAATTTCCCCCCCCCCTAGAAATAAAGCATATTAAAAACATGGGACACTGTTGATATAAGTAAGAGAGGCCCAGATTCATGATTGCAGGGTCAACAAGAGAGCATTGATTCAAAGAATAACAATAAACAAGTGAACTTTTAATACAAAACGTAGGTGAAACCTAAATTTTGTCTAAAAGACTAGAGAAAATGATATTGGATTATGTAGCAAGAGGATCTACAGACGTCAGAGCATGATGTAAAAATACTGTTTATACCCGAATATAAGATGACCCCTTAATAGGTCGATATTTTTACTGTCTTTGCAGTTATGTCAACATTTATGAGTTTCGTGACATGGAATGGAAATGTAAAAACTTAAATCCTAGCCAACTAGGCTTAATCTGCGAATATAAGACATCTCTGCATTTTTCGACTGAGATACTTTGGGAAAAACCTTGTCTTATATTTGGGTAAATATGTTATTTTGTTTCGAGTTTCTAAGATAGAAAATGGACATGTGGTCCACGAGTATAAGAGAATAGGGGAATAAGTCAGCTAAAATTGATTAACGAGAAAAGAGTAATATTTATAAAAAATTTAATAGCGAATTGTAGTAAAACTTAGAAAGTAAATTCAGTATGGTTAGACGAAGAGATACAGCATGGACAAACGAAAATAAGTCACCCATCTGTTGTCTAGGCTATCCGAGGAGAGCAGCGTCACTGACATAGTGGCTAACGTTTCGGCCAGCGTATTGTGACCTCCTTCAGAGCGTACTGCCAACGTACTGCGTTAATGCAAAAAGACAACAGTTTAGCAAGGTCAATACATTTTTAATTATAAGATATAATATTAAGTTAGAAAAATAATTATAATATTTTTTTTTATTAGATATTCAATGGCCATCAAATTAGGTAACAGTAGAGAAAAAACAATGAGATATTGTCCTTTAGAGAGATGGCCCCCTGTTTTGCTTCTGGACATTACTGTAGCTTCAATTTAACTTCTCCCTATAGCACATCGTGTTTTGGCATAAATAAATAATGTTAAATTTCAAAAACAAAATAGAATATTGAAATAAAGAGCAATACAGCAGCCGGCATGTCACTGATAATTTCATAACAAATTACGAGGTGTTTGATTTTTGACTAGGATTAGTTCAAGGAATAGATAACATAATATTTCCTAACAAAATTAAATTAATCATCCACATCGTACAACAACAGATTTTGATGATTTCATTGCGCAGCATAATAGGTGTTTTTCCCATTCAAGAGAGCCATCACAGCAGAACCAAGGTTATCAAGAAATACCCAGATATCGGATTTAAATACCCAGATAATGTACAGACATATTTAAAGAAAAATATCATGACATTCATATCTCACCTCACAAATACAGGGATATCTTTGGGGAAAGGTTTAATCTTTCATTTGACATACCCTGCTCTGACACACATTAGAAATGTGGTAAGATACTATGTGCAATAATGTGCCACTGATGCCATACCACATGGATCATGCCTCTGTGTGGTGTGTGGTGTGTGTGGTGTGTGTGTGTGGTGTGTGCGGTGTGTGCGGTGTGTGCGGTGTGTGCGGTGTGTGCGGTGTGTGCGGTGTGTGCAGTGTGTGCGGTGTGTGCAGTGTGTGCAGTGTGTGCAGTGTGTGCAGTGTGTGCAGTGTGTGCGGTGTGTGCAGTGTGTGCGGTGTGTGCAGTGTGTGCAGTGTGTGCGGTGTGTGCGGTGTGTGCGGTTGTGTCTCAGAGATTAACGTGCAGAAATGATTCGATTTCATTTCACGAATGTTGGCTAACGTGTCATGGTGCTGTGGCACAACCTAATGTATTGTCATTCCGACAAAGGAGAAAGTTCAATGAAAAATATTTTATTATAGTGATAAAACATTGTTGAAGAGTTCTGAAACTACATTCAAGGTTACTATTTTCAAAAGTTAATAATTTACGCATACTGTGTTCAGTTAGAATTTGGAGAGTTCACTGCAGAAAAGACAGGCGCAGCTAACAGATCTTATCTCTTGTTGGCGGGCCTTTTGCTCGAGTTTCAAGTACAGTTTTGCATGTTTATGACAGTTTTATGTGTTTTTGCTTGGTCGAGCCCTTCTCTTCAGCCTGTTGAACTTTTGTGAGATCGTCGACACAGGGTAGATTAGACGTGAACGATTTCACTCAACATTTTTTGGAGAATTTCTATTATTTATTTAATATTTATATCATATTTAATTCGTTGAAATATTAGATGTAACATTAAAATACTAATAAGTTAAATTAACAATTTAATAGCATTAATAATAGCTATTTATAAAATATTTAATTTGTAATTACTTGCATTTTAATTACTTTATTTCTTATAGTAGATACTTATTTTTGTAAATATTTAATGTAGTTTATGATGAATATCAATAACTTTTAAGCAACTTTAGCAATGAGTCCACCGCAGAAGGGAGAAGTAACACAGCATCAGTGCCAAGAAGACATCTTTTTTATTGCAAGATTTGTGGAAGAGCTGATGATGCGAGGCAATATAGAAACTTCTTCAGTTATTGACAAAACTGCCTATGAATTGAGGCTGAAAACTCACATTTTTCAAAAGTAAGTAAAATTATAATAGAGTGTCATATGAAAGTCAATAAAGTGTCAGGTGAAATTGTGTTGGATAATGTTGAATTTAATTTTACAGATATTGAAAGCAAGACCCTGATACTGCTCAGACACCAGAAAGCAGTGTTCAGGAAGGGAACAAAACGAGTGGTGGATGATTTTTGACAGGGCTTGATTAGGCCCATTATTTATTCAATGTACGAGAATAGTAAGTCATTTATTTATATTTGCATGGAAAGAAATGATAACAGTTATTGAATGATCTGACTTTTTGATGGAATATGTGAAATAAGGCTGAAGGTATTTAATTAGTGTTTTTGAATGAAACATGGTTTTATTAAAAAGGCAAGCAAAAAATCTACTTAATTTTGTAGTGTTGAAAAATATGAAATTTTAGATATAAGGGAATGGAGAAGGCATGATTTGCATGTAATGAAATGCATATTTTGAGAAATAGCGGTGTGTGTTTGATGTATGCCGTGTACACTTATGTGTATGATGAATATCGTTTGTCCAGTTTGAAACACTTACATAGTTGTTCAATATGATTTTATTTCAGTAGATCTTTACTAATCATTTTTAACAATCTATCCTTTAGGTTAGGTTAGGTTAGGTTATAAGCAAACATTTAGATGAAGGTAAAAGATATATAGTCTTACATGCAGAAGGTGCAAATGGTTTCATCGAAGATGCAGAACTATTGTTTCCATCAAAGACAAAAGAAGTAGATGAATATCATAGAACTATGACAGCAGAGATGTCCCAAAAATCAAAGAAAGAAGAATTATTACCTTGATTAGCAGAACCATCAGTTATTGTAATGGACAATGCACCTGTTCAATGTGTGCTGGTGAGTGACATTTCATCAATTGTTTTTTAAAAATGTGAAAAATATTCATTCAAATAATACATTTATTCATTTATAAAAATACCCAATTATAAAATGAGTATTAAAACTACTCAGTGGTGAAAATTTATGTTTCGCTTAAAAGAGTGGAATAGAAAGTTTATTACATTCAATTGTGTTCAATGATTTTAGTTATATCAGTAATATAATTTTTCTTAGAGAACAGCAACTTCGCCAGTAGAATATTTTATATTTATAGAGAGAATGAAAAGAAATGCATGTTGTCTTTGAATATAACGGAAATATTTAAACATCCTTTTGTCATTTCCCATTTTTTAGAAAGTGAAAAGGCCTTCATCAAAATGGAGGAAGGGTGACCTGCAACATTTTCTCAACACTACATAACTTTTAGACCTGAGCATACCTTTGAGTGTCTTCTATTTAAAACTTCTGAAGTAGTTGTTCAGAAAAGGTACTCTTAAACATTAGTTTTGTTGAATTAATCATAGAATAAGGCAGTTTTATTTTTTGCATGGTTTTCATGATTTGAAAAATCATATCAGTTGATGTGGGTGCAGATATTTTGTAGATTAAATGAAATAAGAAACAAAATATTGTCTGTTTTTTTTTTGTTTTTTTTTTTCAGAAAATTTGTTAATATAAAGTACTTATTTATTCTGAACATTGCTTTAGTTGGAAGAATTATATGACACACATAGAGAAAATTATAGAAGAAGATTGGAAAGTAGAAGAAGGCGGGATGCTGCAGGGATTTCTGTCATTGTAAATATTCAAGATGACCCTGATGATAATGTTTCTCGTGCTGTTCCCATGCCTGGGCTCTGGTGTCTCTACTTAAGAGAGATATGTATTTTTACATGTGTAATGCAGTATATTTCATAGGTTTGAAAAAACGATTTGACGTAACTCTTGTTCTTCTCGGGTGCAGAATTAAAAGTTTGTATTATTCCATCGAGGGCAAGTAAGTGGTTACATTCCAGGTGAAATAGTGAATCTTAATTGTTTTTAAGCTGACCTAGGCTTACTGAAATAAATGCTCCTTTGCTTGCTTCCCAGAAGTAATGTAGCTTTTTGCTCTCCGTATGGGTAGGTGTTTTTTAAGGTGTACTTCTCAGAAGATATAACTAGACACTTCATTATGCCTGCACATGTTAACTTCTTTTTAGTAATTATTGTAATAATTTTTTTATTAAAAGAAGTTTTTCATTCATATGAAGTTAATTTTTTTATGTATATGAATCAGGTATGTAAAATGATGTGTGAATGAAAGTATAAGTAGTAAGGGATTGATTGTGAATGAATGGGTTGAAAATATATTTTAATAACATTCATTCACACTCATCAAAAATTAACTTCAAGTAATAGAAAAAATAGTTCTTTTAATAAAAAAGAATTAGAAATGCAGATTTAATGAAAAGAAAAGTTTTATATTTTGAGCAGTATGTTAGTTTTTCGCATAGTACATCTTAATGTAATAAATTATTAAAATTATCAAAATCGGCTGTTAGGACTGCTTTGATAACTAATAAAGTGTTGTCATATAAGAAGATACAATACGTACATTGTTCACCGTTTTATCCTCTTGGTAAAAATTTAAATGCATACTTTTTATTTCAAAATTTTTACTCCTCATCCTGGCAAATGTGGTAGGCTGAGGTTGGAGATGTTAATAGTAGGATGTGAATATTTTGTAAAAGGACTTAGGAAACTCATTTTGATTTTGTATAGTTTGACTTTGAATTATCTAAGTGGATAAAATTTATTGAACTTTAAACGGATTCGGTGGAAATGTTCTATCCTTCAAATCAATAATAATGCAAATAAAGGGAATTATTATTTCACTTATACGTTTGCTTTTTTATGTTACCTTTCATCTAATTTCTAATTGACTTTTATATTATGTAATAAAGTTATTGAAGGTATGAAACATTTCAATTTTCATTTCTAAGGCTAAAACTTGCACAGTGATCATGAAAAACCATTCATCTTTCATTAATTTGAATATATTATTTAATATCCTTTGAAGGACAGGTGAGTACAATAATTTATAGCAGTTTTTAACCCATTTTTTATCTTAGTTTTAAGAACTGACTTGATTTCCATATTTAAGAAATTTACCTGAAGTTACTGATCAATTGAATTAACTGAGAATTCTGTCAAACAGTACTCCAGAATATCTACTAAATTGTATCCTTTTTCCCACAGAAATCTTTGAATGTGGTGTGAAAATTTTCCAAGATTGTACAATCAGGAGAACTTAGAATTATGAAAAGAAAATAGCAAATTAATGGTAGTTTTATGTTAATTATACATGTCAATTAAGCCTTGTTTTATCAATCACTGAACAAATTATAGTATTCAAGTATTATAACAAAGAATTCACAATTAACTAACCAAATCTGTAAGTCACTGATCAGTAATTGATACACTTGCTGTCAGTCAAGATGAGCAATGTGAAAATGAAATTGTAATTATAAACACCAGATATCATAACTGCAAACATAGATATCAAATATGACCACATATTAAAACTGCACTCATTAATTTGAATCTTCTGAACACGCAAGATTGAAAAGTACCGGCAGAATTCCAATAATGTTTTACAAGGCTTACGTGGGAGCTTTGCAGTATACTCCATTTCATTCTCGTATCTGATGATCTAATTCAATTAATCACATATGTTCTCAAGAGTATTTCGAAATGTTTTGAATCACTTAGTATAATGTTTCATCATTAGTGAGAAGGAATTAAATGAATCTCTCGTGAAAACTGTTTCTACCTCCATGCGATCAAAATTACATTTAACAACAAAATTCAGTCAACCACAGCCAGCTGTTAATGCTACTCAGCTGACTGTCGGAAGAATATTTAGCAGAGAGCGATGCAGTCTTAGGTTACGCTCATCTGTTATAGAAGCTGTCATTATAATCGTTTACTGCCCTGAACGCTCTGTATGCATTGATATGACAAGTGTTATTCTCTCCCATGTTAACCCTTTCAACTGTTGTTTTTTTTTTTAGTGCCAATTTTCTACATACGACTACTATGTAAGTGATGTTGGCAATGATCAAGTGACTACACATTTGGCATGACGCAGTCTGCCTGTCTTCTCGGTTATGATATTGATAGATTTAGGTCACTATCCACGGGTAATACAACTCATTATTTGGTATAATAGATGTATTGCCCCAAAAAATAATCAGAGAATTCTCACACTGTTTACATATTTGATGTTGGGTTATTTTCCTTCAATACAACCAAAATTCTTATGCTGCAAACACAGTTATCTCCCATGTGAGAGATATTTTTCTTTGATAGAAAAACAGAAAAAACACTTTCAAGTTAATTTACCATTTCAGTGAGTTGAATTGATAGTGATTACATCACAACATAATCCTTTCATTGTGAAATATATGGAACAAAAAGATTGAAAAAATTTTGAAGTTTTGAGCAGAATGTATATATGTCCCAAAGATTTTAAAATCAGAAGATTTGTGGCTTAAAATTTCAGGAGATGATCCATTATCTTGGTATGTGAAGAAACTACATAATATTTTAGAATCAAGGCGTGCGTTTTCTTGAAAGAAGAGCTCTGTAGCTGGACCAGTTACACACAATTTCTTCACACATTTATACAAGGGCCATTGCAAATGTCTGATTAAAAAGGAAAGATCTACTCATATGCGACTATAATCTGAACATTGGACACTACCAGTTCTATCTAAATATGTAAATTAATAATAATAATAATAATAATAATAATAATAATAATAATAATAATAATAAAGTTGAAGTTTTCTTTTATTTGTCATTATGTTGAGGAGAACTATCATTAATTCACTTAGAAATAAGCAAAAATGTATTTAATCTTGCAAACAACGATGATACATCCTTTTGCCATTGTGGCATTTACACGAACTATAATAATGTGGACACACTCATAAATAATACTGAAATATTGTATAAACCCATTAAATGAAAATTGTATTGTCACTTATGACCATGGATTCACTGATGTATTTTATGAAATATATCATACAAACATTTTCTCTTTTTATTGTAAAATTGTGGTATTGTTAGTTACATCCTTCTTCCAGACACCACTTCAATTATACTTATATACGTATGTTTCAAAATACTTATGCTTTTCACAATGGTATATTAGAAATGAAAGCATTCTTATAGCTAGCAAATGTTTATTCTTTGGAGTTCTGACCCACAATACCTGTTTAACATGACAACAATTGATCTTGATTCAATGTACTAGAATTGAGAATTGGGCAAGGCATATAGAATAGTTATTAATTACTACGCATCTAAGTTTATCTTTAAGAAAGAGGCTGGACAATTAACGGAGGCTTAGAGAGCTGGAGGCTTAGCAAAAGTGAAGTTGAGTAGTTAAGTAGCCAAGCTCTTAAATATTACAGGACATGAACAATTAACTGTTTTATTTGAAAATATATAATTTCAAAACAAACATTTTGTAATTATAACCTTGAAGAAGTTAGATGTCATGATTCTTAATGTCCTCTGATAAAGTATTTGATTATGTTGCATACCGATTGCTTTAATGTTCAAACATGCAGTTCTGTAGTAAGGGGCAGTTATTGCAAGGATAAAAAGGAAATGTTAATATCTAAACATAAAAGTACACTCCAACTATTTTAATACCCTTTACAGTATTTGAACATCACTTGCTATGATCATAGTGTTAATGTATTATTTAGTAGATTCATTACCACGAACCTAAGTGTGAGATTATGTATAATAATAATAATAATAATAATAATAATAATAATAATAATAATAATTTTTGTTTGTTTTTTGTCTGATGTTTCACATCTTCTATACAAGAGTTTGAAGTTTTTTTCTACAAACTTCATTTTCTGGAAAGAAAAAATTAAAAAACACGATATGTAAAAATACTTACCTCTTCGACCTCTCCAGTTCGTGGATTGATAATGCGCATTTTTTTATCTTTGCATGTGGTAAGAAGCTGAGACCCATCCCAGTTCCAACATGCTGAGTACACTATATCAGGGTGGCAATTCAGCTGAATCAAAGACTCTCCAGTTCCCACATTCCATATTACCACCAGATTGTCTGACCCTAAAAAAGGAAATAACATTTTTCATCATGTACATTTTTTCACAAATATCTGAAGTTCCATTACAGTGAAGAGGAACTAAACTATTATTGTTATATTACAAGAATGGCACTGGTTTGAATGTCATTAAAATACATCTAAAACGACAGCTAAAACAAAAACTTTCTGGGGGAAAATAAAACATTATTATTAACTAATTATATTATGTAATGGTGTAATTGGTTATATCTTCCAAAAGAAATTACCTAGAACAGCAAATGCAATTTAGAAGTTAAGAAAAAACAATCCACGTGTAATAGTATCATTAATACAAAATTGTTCAAAATCTGCTGAATATTAATGTGAGGATTTTTACCCATTCACTCAAGTTTGCACAATTAAATATTACTTTCAGAAACAAAGACAATAAACTTCACAGAAACCCTAACATGATCAAGTATTTGTCAATGAGGAAAGACCCTATTGCAATAAATATCTATTTTGTCATGCTTTAAGGCGCAAATGAGATGGGGAAACAAGAACATGAAGTGTACCCTTCCAAGCTGAGTAAAAGCATCACTTGCAAAATGAGGTGTAGAACAGCCATGTAATGTAGTATATGTCTATGTCATGTAATTATCCATGCCAAAATATCAGTAATTGACTCAGGGCACCTTCACAACTAAACAATTTCACTAACACTAAGTATCCCCAACACCAAAACTGCAATTAAGCATTAACACCCAACTCATGAAATTTTATTATCACACCAGGGAACACCATATTAAACAAGTGTACAAGAACGATTGGAAAAGCAGGAAAGGATCCTGCTTAACAATGATATAACAAACCATTAAAATCAAAACAAAAAGGTCTTAATTTCATGACCTATTGATTCATAACAATCGCACCCTCTCTATTTTGATTGCTTTTGGCAACAATAAATATTACCCATTTATTTTAAACTTTTACATGAAATTGGAAATGTTGGCAAGTTTCTGGTTATGTTACAATAACTATAGATCAACCCACCAGTGACTTGTTTTGCAATAAAAATTCTTAACACCACTTGTCGCTTTTATGAAAATGATTGAACAGGAACTACACTGAGTTGTTTTTTTTTCCACTACACATGCAGTCAATCAGTTTCAATTATATTAAGCACACAGCAGAACTAATATTAAAAGGCACAAAATATATAATTATATCTATATCTCTATCTATATATGCATTTAATATATTGAAATTGATTGAACGGTGATGTAACAGCAACAGGACAAATTCCAGGCAATGTTCTTTGAAGAACATCTACACAAAAGTATTTACAAGGTATTACATGCTACGCAATAAATGAAAATACCGAGTTGGGAAATAAATTTAACCATTTAATATATATTTTTATAAACATCTTGATAACATCTTTTACCATTCAAACATACATTCCCCTTATTTTGATGTCAAATTCCACAGTGCTTTTTCACCTTTTACAGTACAACTGGTATATGGAAAAAATTCCATAATTTTTAATCCCAAATAATTTTTTATCTATTTACAACAAATGCAGCAAAGCATTCGATGCTGGAGCAGTACACTACATCCCTTTAGAGGATCCTACAAGTAAGTGCATTTCACTTGGGCTTGCAAACTTTTAGGTGACACAACAAAGTGCTATTACCTTACTTCTTCAATAAATGGAGAAGAATTTGACTTTGCTAGATTACCTGCAGTCAGGAGGATGTTCAGGGCGGTTGGATGCCATAGGACGAGACCCACTCTCCTCTGATGGTAAATCAAGTCAACGACAGGCTCAGTGAGCGTTCTGCAGGCAGGAGAAGGCAAAAGATGGCACAGTGGCCCACACAAACACCCATGACATGTTTTACAACAAAGATATAGAAAGAGCGAGGGTACTCTTGGCATGCAAATCACCACTTATGTGTCTGAATTACATTGGAGTTACCAAAGCATACCACTACAGTGAACATGTGTATTTTGAATGAAGGCTTCTTTGACAACGATTTTAAAAACAAGGCACTTACAAGAACGTTTTCTTCAAATTCTTTGCAATTTAAGCCAATGTTCGACACGCGCACACACACTTTCTGATTCGCTACTATTGGAGTATGCATACTTTTCATTAATATAATTCTCTGAAACTTATACTGAAAGAATGCAGATATCAAACAACATGCTGGATTGTACTGTCTTGAAACCTTCACACAAGTAAGCAATTGCAACAACTACATGCATAGGCAACACACATGTAAGCTCCACAAAATACAATACACTTGCAACCAAAAATAATAATTACAGTATTTGTCAATCTGTTCAAAGCCCTGACATTAAGTGCACCTTGTTCAAGACTTTTTCAGGGTTTTCATCTTCCCAGCAAGTAAAACACTTATTTTCATACATTCTGAAAGAAAAGTGAACTTAGTACTCTGAAAAACGCATTAACATTAATCTTCAACAACTTCCACTATTTCAATAGTGGCAATTCTCATTAAAATTATTTTGTTCCAAGGTAATTATTGTATAATTTCATATGAAACAAAATTTATCCACTTTTTCATTAGAAGGATGCATAATAAAGAATTTTTTTGATGAAAACTCGTTTTTGGCTGCAGCAGTACAATATTTTCTCTAAACAAGTAAGTTGGGTACGACAAACTAAAAATAGAAAGTTAATTTATAATACTTGCTTATTTATTTAAACCCAAAATAAAATTACAAAATTGTTTTCGAAATGGTTTCTTCCATGATATTTAAGTCAATTTTCAAAATTATATAACAACTTTACACCTTTATAGTGACAATGTTTGGTTTCATTCTTTTTATCTACCTCATGCTGTATGTTGCAAGCTAATAAATCACACAGAAATGTAGGCAAAACTCAGCAAAACATGAAAAATGATGTTGAAAGATCTGATACATTACTAACCCATTAACGACCAAACCAATTTTGTGCGCATAGCACTCACCCATTGTCTTTGCAAATATTGTAGCGGTACAGAATTATTAAGACAAATTAAATTGAGTAAAGCAGACCTAAGAATTTTTTTACTGAGCAAACCGATTCGGCCGTCAGCAAGGCGCAGCCCACTTTTGCAACAGCCAGGTCCTGACCATTTGAATGTTTTATGACCAACCAACACCGCCAAGGAGTAAATGTAAAGCGCCCGGGGGGGCATATTGGGATATACGAAACGCCTGTCTCGGATCGGGGAACCCAAAGCAATATTCAGTAGCCGGGAAGTTAGAGACGTGGCCTACTTTGAACAGAGATGGAATCCTATACTCGCCCGGAGCCTATTGGCAAATTTAGTGTAGCATATTTTAGCAATGCGAGCGCGTTGTAGGGGAAGACATATAGGAGAAGGGTGGAATAAAGTTACTTCGTGGCGTTTAGGAAAATTAAATTAAAGTTTGAAGAGAGAGTACTTCTCTGGGGTGGGACCAGTCGGGGGAGAGGCAAGTGCGATTCCGAGCTTTGTTAAATTTGTTTAGTTGAAATCACTGGGGTGATAGACCGGAATTCTCAGTGAGAATTTTAGAGGAAGTGCAAACGCATTTCAAAGTAAATTGTCGAATCCTTTGTCACTGCGTATTCGCTGCAGGATTTCGCAATTACTTAAATATATATTCGAGAGGAATCGCATACGCAGAGGGAGACATTGTTGTGTGCCCCGCACCTGCGATCGCAGGCAAGATCGCCAGTTATGTACAAATTTGCCGAAGAAGCTTCCAGACGACCCTCTGCTGACGTCAACGGACAGCCGCAGACGTCGCTGCCACCCTGCTGTTGTGGGGGCGTGCGCCCCGAGCGAATTCCTGCGAAGGTCGCCAACCGCGCCACCCGGCCTACAGAACATCTGCCACGACGGGCTCTCAGGCATTGTAACTGGGGGCAATAAACCTTTTGCAGTATTGTCAAAGCGGTGCCGCGCCAAGGCACACGAAAGGTCCTCAGGGACAACTCTGTAAATCTAACTATAAAATAATTTTGTACTATTCTCTAGTTGTAAGCTTTTCTTCTAATTATAATCTTCATTTTTTCCTTTTATTCAATCTTTTCTTTATTTTATTTTTTTAATGTAACTTCCCTGGTACAGCTCTGTCCAGGAATAAACGTTGTCTTTTACCAGTAATCAAATTGTTTATTTTGAATGCCCATGCATGCTTTAGCTTACAATGCCTTCCATCACTGAATCTTAAATTCAGGAAATTGTTAAAATTGGCTAGTTTTCACACGAGTAAAGTTGTTACAATTGGCTAGTTTTTATACGAGTTAAGGGAGTAGGACCGACTGAGCTAGAACCGGGCCGCTAACCGCACGTTTCCCTACGCCGGGAGGTGTTACAATATGTATGCAAAATGTAGGAGCTATATGGTAGCATCCTTTGCAATTTATCTCCAAATTATGTTGCTAAATTATTATACATAAGTGCTCTACAGTGCCAAATGCTGGTTCCGAGAGTAATTTTTTTCTATAAGAAATAGCAAAACATTTAGGTCACAGCAATGCCCCATCAACTTCAGTGCAGACCAAGCATCATTTGCTTTACAGAAGTCTCTCTCCAACTTTACTACAGATATAATGGATAATAATGTAATGAATTGTGTTGTCGATTTTCAATTTTTAATTGAATTATTACACAATACTTTTTTTTTACTGCATATTACTTGACAAACTAGCTTCTGTTATCGTTTTAGAATACTTATTATGTAGATAAATCTTTACATAGACTATCGTTGATAATTTACAATAATGTTGCATTTCCGCAACATTGGGATTAGAATGTATGGTCTTAACATGATAGAACAAATGCAAAATTGTAATGTAAGCATTGAGGAATAGACATGTAACTACTGTTTCATATTTCTGTCCCTGATATAATTATTTCGTCTTGGAAATACTGTCTTCTCCTGCGTTGATGCATCATTGTATGAACAATGCTTCAAGAATAACCATCTTCTAGTAAAAAAAGAAACAGTAGAAGAAGACTGATTGACATGTGAATGAATTTGATTGACAATGCAATTGCCAACTCATGGAAAATTATATTGGAAAAGAAGAAAAGATTTCACAAATAGAATTTGGCACTTTCTTAGCAATGGCCCTGATGAACAACAAGTCTCTGCAAAAAAAAAAGTAAATGCAATTATGAGTCAGTGATTTTACAGGAGACAGAAAATTCCCATTTTTGTCAACCCACAAACAATTTCTTATGTAAAGAAGTATGCCATGGGTTATGGATGCAGGCTTAGATGGCTCAGGACATCAATTAATGTCACTGCAGTGTCTCTGACCGGGAGGTCCTCGTTCGAGTCCCAACGGAGGCAGGATTCTTGACACTAGCTACATAACTGAGCCAGCCGCCTTCTGAAGGAGAATTCCAGCATCCGATTGCTCTGATCGGTAGTTTTTCTTGGTTTCTTTAATCAACACCAGGCGAATACCAAAGCAGTACCCTAACAAGTAGGTCGCAGAACGTATGCTATCTTTTCTTCCTCATCCTTGTTCTATCCCCACACCTCACTTATATGTTTTACACTACCACACATGCTGGGAAACCAATTGAGAGCTTAAAGCTTGCCCTAGCTGAGGCAGTGCCCAACCTGTGGGAAATGCCTTGTTGAAGAAAAACCCCACTAACCGACAGGGTAGGTCAGTGTCGTATCTAGCCATTCAGCAGGGAGGTGATCACTGCTACTTTCCGCAACACAAATACACACTACACTTACCGGAATAATAGCCTTAGCAGTTGACATGCCACCAACAAATTAATCAATCATGATGTACAGTGCATTACTTTAGAGGAAGAAGAAAATGCCAGAATGAGGTGCATATTGTGCAACAGCACCACAATTTACTAATTTAAAAACTGCAATGTTTATATTCATTCAAACTTGTTTTCAGTTGTTTCTTGTCAAGAGGACTGAATATATTCTATTACCCCAAAATGCATATAAGGCACGTTTTGTTATACATTTATGAGGGCTAATACTTTACAACATTTATTAATGTTTTTTATCCTTTTTGGTGTGTGTGTGTGTGTGTATATGTATGTATGTATGTATGTATGTATGTATGTATGTATGTATGTATGTATATATATATATATATATATATATATATATATATATATATATTAACAGGGTTGCTGACTCTAGGTGTGCCAGTCCTTCATTGCAACGCCAGACTCCATACTGCCTGGCTTACTCAGATCCTGCTCGCGTCACTTGGATGCAACATTGGGACTAGCCCACCCTTCTCCCTGGACCTTGGATTACCATATTTTCACCAAACTGAAGGGAGTTCTTTGGTGGACATCAACTTTCTAATGATGAGGAGATAATGGAGACTGTGAAAAAGTGGCGAGTGTAAGGTATACCACGAGGGTAAATACGGGTGCTCAGGCTTCTAAAGTTCATTTACCTCAACAGCGATTATGTGAAGAAATGATAACATGTTTTGGCACTTATGCTGTAAATTTCATTAAAATATATTAATTTTCTGATTTTTAACAAGTGTTGTATTCTTACTTTCTGGATGTCCCTTCTATATATTATATTTCTTTTAAACTTTTTCACGTAATTGAACTATTACTAGAGAAAATAGAATACAATATAATATACAATAAAATGAACAACTTTATGAAACCAAGAACAAAAAATTAATTTGTAGTAGAGGTATGTACTGATAGACTTAGATGATGAATTAGTTTTTATCCTGTATTTAATGGAGATAAAAACTATTTTAGCAACAACATCCACACACACCGAGCTAGTTTTGAGAAAAACATGTTTAAAACTTCAACAGTGTCCACAATTCTAGATTTGTATTACTAAAAGATGATGAGTATTAATAAAAATTAAATTTTATCAATACTCACATAAAGAACAAAATTAATATTGTAAAAACCAATGAACACAGTAGTCTTACTAGTTTTAATAATATTAATCTTTTTTTATGTGTATATTGATAAAATTCCATGGTTAATGAGAAAGTGCACAAGTAACAACTATTATACCCAGTATTTTTTGATAACAGGACAACTATTAAGTAGAATTTAATACTTTAAAAACTGTTCAATACTGTTACACGTTTTTCAATGAATTCAGTTGTTTTCAACACTACATGCTTTTTGATTGGGGCAGAAATGCACCAAAAAAATGGTAACATTTCTTTGAACGAAGAATGCCTTTTTTTCTAAATCTATTCTTCTAAATTTCTATTAGATGATTCCACAAGCTTGTTCGGTATAGTGAACACAATACCGAGACATGTTTCAAGAGCATGAAACTATATATAAATCAAATTTAAAGATTTTGTAGGTTAGGGAGGTATTGAACCATACCCTCAAATACATAGTATATTTATTTAAAAAAAATAAACTTAAAACAATTTAATGATAAATTTAAACACTGATTTCTTTATAACTGTTTCTGCTTTTAAAGTAATTAAGAATGAATAAGTCACTTCATGATTTTGGATTAAAGTAAAAGCATCAAGTATCAAATACAATTTAAAAAAATCTTTTTTATTTAAATCTCTATATCAGAAGAAGTTGAATTTGAAAGGGGTAGCTATTGGTGGGCAGGGGTTGAGGGGTTGTATTTTATTTGCCAGGATGGATGCAACTGGCTTTCAAATTTGACAAAATAGGGCTTTACAAAAACGAAAAGATTTTAGTATTTACCATTGAACTGATTAATGTAATCTTCCCAAACGTATTATTATATAAAATGAGATGGTAATTATTATTACTTTTGTTTAAAGACTGGTCACCCTGGACAGGTCACTAACTTGTTGCTCATAAATACCAAACTACCTAGACAACCAACACTTTGAAAGGTTTCTTATGCCTAAAACCAATACTATTGAATCTCATATTGGGCAATACGTCACTACATTGTCACCTTACCCAGCCTTTGGAAACTATTGAAAACACTGGTTGTTTCTGTAGCTCTGTGATTAGAGCAACTGGGCATAAACCAGGAGACCCAGGTTTAGGTTCAAGTTCCGGTCAGTGCGACAATTCTTTGAACAAATCTAATTATTAAAATGCACTTTTCACTCAGTAATATGGTCACATCATGGAATCTGTTACTGTTTGTAACATATTTCACATATAATTGCCTCCCGAATGAGGCAACAATTTAATATAGGTTGCACAGTGCCAACGATGTTTCATGTTAATCCAAAGACTGACGGTCCAAGCCTCCGTCAACTTCGAAATGCATAGTGAAGTATCAACTTTTTTTTAATTTACCTACCTGTCCAGGTGACGCCGCGCCCAGAATGGCGACAGAAACGTCGGCACCTTCAACATGGACACGGCGTCACCTGGACAGCCAAGTAAATACTGACTCCTACACTCTCAAGTATCAACTTCACCGACAAACTAATTTGGAATAAAAATACAAGTGAAATATACATTATTTTGTAGACATTTCACTTCTGAATAACAGAACTGCAAGCTAGTTTAGTAGAGACATCACAAACATCCAAGCACACGATATGTACATTTTATTAATTTTCATGCAAATGTTTTTCATATTTTAATTAAGTATTATGCACTCTCTTCCCTCTCAATCTGTATTCTGTAATAAAATCTCTATGTTAGCCCTATAAAGTGTTTAGTTAGTTGAAGTAGTATCCTCTGCAACTGATTATTACTTGAAACTGTTTTTTAACTAAAATACAAATATGAAATCCACATTTAAAATCACACAATAGTTTGCATCATTAATTAATAATACTATTTGGTGTCTATCAAGTTTGCATTGAAAATGCCCTTGGTCCATGATGAAATATGAAATTTTGTAATTGTACTTACAACACACAACAAATATTATGAATTCTTAAATTTTCAGTACAAAAATACTTAATACTCAGTTTAATATTCTTACTTGTACCTCATTTTTACTAATTGGTAAAATCAAATTTTCAGAGTCAAACTGTTTTACCTACCGACTAATCCCATGATCAGGTATTTGCCACACTTTAACAACACAGTCTTCAGAGCCACTCGCAATGACATTGTCATTATGAGGACACCATGCAATATCCAAAACTGGACCTTTATGGCCTCCAACAAGAGGATGGTCGGCTGCAATTCGTCCAACCTGCAAAAAAAACATAATTTGAAAAATAAAAAAATGCATTAAGTCTTCAATAATTCTTGTTATTAAGTGCTGTGGTCTGATCTCTACACTTGTAAGACCTAAGGCATAGGAACTACCAGAATTCAAGTGGGCATAAATTCTAATATTTGGGGATAGCTATGAGTTGGTTTATGTTATGCTTATTTTAACAGACGTTTGAAGACAGCACACCACAACCAAGGGCAGTGAAATTGTTAAAACAGAACTTTTAAAGTTTAACAATTACACACAACAACAAAGTGACCATTACCTAGGATAAGCAAGGGTCAATATAGTTTCAATGGTTCAAGACAAGACACATGGTTCAACAAGTGAACACATTTTCACAATACACTTGTTCAGGGATTGATTCAAAGAATATCACAAAATTATAAAACAAAGTTTTGTTATTACTACTTCATAAAAAATTCCAGGGTTGGGGAAAAATTTTGAAAATCATGTTAAGAAAAACTTTTTTTAAGACAACAATTAATTATTTTTCACAATTAAAACGAAGACAAACTATAGTAATTACTAAATGTTTTGTCAACATTAAGGGTATAACTTTTAAGGGTAAGAGGGGATTCATTGCAACAGAATGCCGTAAAAAATAATATAGGTATCCTTTATTTTCGGGTTCAATGAACATGTTTGTTATTCCAATATCAGAGAATCAAAGGCCTAAAGTACTTAAAACCTAGGTAATTAGACAATTATTAAATTTATTTGATTTTTATAAAAATTGTTGTAAAAGTTTTAGTGAAACTTAACATGCACTCAGATAAGAAGTTTTCTAAAAATATAAATGTGCCAACTTTTGACTCTTTTTTTATATTTAGTAAGATTATTCACAATACAGAAATAGAACCATGCACCAAGCATTCTAAACGTAAGATAGCCCATGCAAGCCAATTCATTCATTGGATATGTCAGTGTGCAAAGTGCTTGAGACTGTGTGTGTTAGATATTTTGGGGACAAGGCTAAAAATAAATGTGAAAGGAAACATTATGCATCTTAATTCCATCTTATGAAGAAATCAACCCAGAACTGTAATCTATCATGAATTATGCACATTACTTAGAAGTATAACTTGGAAGAAAAGAGAATTATGAAGTCGACATCAAAGTAAATGAAGAAATACACAACTTTTTATAGCAGTTAGGCTGTCAATATAAAAGAGAAAGGAGGTCAAATTCTTTAAAATAAATGAGGAATTCAACAATATTAATATGACAATGTTACAGTGAGACAGGATAAGGTTTCACCTCTACTAATGCTACTATAAGAAACTTGAAAATATTGGTATTCTATTGAAATGTATACAGAAATATGGGAAGTAGCATTCTTTGTCTGCGTATTACACTATTATCGTTGCTCTCAGGAAACGGTGGCAGCTTATCACAAAATGTTATCATAACACTGATTTTAAAACCACAATGTTTGAAAGTGGTGTTACTGGACGTAAAGATAATAAAGCAATGCTACCACAACATAACAAAAGTAATAACAATATAGTTAAAGCAGTAATACCATAGCAAATATATAAATTAAGTTATTTGGTGCACATACTTTATTAAGAGGTAGAACAACAAATGCTCCTCCACCGGCAGATTCCACAATTATGGCTAGGAATTTTGGATTCACTGCACAGAATGTCGAATCCCACGATGACTTAGACACACGAATATTATCATAGCATTGTTCTCTTTTTAAAGCTTGCCCATACACGTGACGAAACTTGCTGCTGCGTACAACTCTGAAAGACATCTGCAAAATGCCAGTTTAAATTAGCATTGCACACAGAACCTTACTAATTACTCCATTAAACTTCACTTTGGAAGGACCACCCCACTTGTGGATGCAATAGAGAAGCTGGGGAAATAGGGAAGAGGAGGGGTACACATCTAGGAAGGAGAATATACTGATTCTCCAGGAAAATCATCCATACATGATTTCTGTCAAAATAAACAGAAAATACAAGTGTTGAGAATCACAAATTCTTCAACTTACCTTTCTGAAACGGTAGCTTCAATTACACAGCTCAATTTTCTAATGTTAAATTGTCATTAAATCCTGACAATTTATTTCCCTCTTCACACGTGCTCTCAAATTCTCAGTACCGAAACAGTTCCCTCAAATTCCTGGAAAGCGCCTTACCCTACGAACGGAAATACCGTCACAATTCCATATTAGGTAATGTATCCAGAAATACTAACGTCATGGAATTACGAAACTATTGAAGCTAACCTACCTTGTATTTGTTGAACTTGTCTTATTTTAGAACAGGGAGAACAGTGCATTCGGTGAGGTGTATATAATTAAAACTCAACAATATCAACCAACTCTCTCAGCATTCGTTTACGAAAGTTCCACCTTTTTGTTCTTTGCGTTGATGACTGAGTATCGGAGTCAAGTAAATTTGAAGTACATGGAAGTACCCTTCAACTGCGCCTCTTTCATACTCTTAATTGACACCTTTCGCCACAAAGAGCGCTAGCAACTTCTTCGATTAGGAAATATTAGCGCATACCTCTTACGTAGTGCTACAATCAATACTAGAGATGGCAGCACAGTATCATAGTGAAGTGTTTTAAACTCAAAAAATCATTCTAATAGAACACTTTCAGATTAACCACTTTAATTGATTTGATCTTTTAAAGTAACAATTAGCTATTTATTGGCCTCCTCAAACTAAAATTTTAGATTGTACTTCGTTTCTACTCGGTAACTAATCATCCACCCACATCAGATTGAGTCATCAGTCTGCGAAATTTGATATTGCCGTGGAAGGTAATTTTGGGCAATTTCATTTCTCTAGCTAGAATTGTAAATGCTGTATGCAATGCCTCTTCAGTATTTACTATGATCTCAGACCGTCGGGGTGCAATAATTTGTAACGCTTTCGTTGAAACCTGGTAGAAACGTCAACTTCGCCACGAATTGCCAACTTTGAAATAATTGTCTGAAATAAAATGTATAAATTGGTATAACAAATATTTTATGTTTGGTTGACTTTTTTTCTTTAAAAAATAAAACCAGTACTTTGTTTTACTGGTAATATAGGTGAAGAGGCGCGAATATCGAGAGTATATAGTTCTAGTATTAAAAATACTGTATTTCTCGTACAGAAACGCAGCTGTCATAAAACAAATTTTGTTTAAGGATGACTTCAGAAAATATTTTCCTCTTTGTGCCGAATTTGATAGGTAAGATTTTCTCTCCCTCCCTTTTTTCTTGTTTTCGAGCAATTTAGTTCTTAAATAAACTTGGTGAACTTTGCTTATTTTATAGGGTATGCAAGAGTTGTTTTGGCCCTGATATCTTTCTATTATATGCCTCACAATCACATTATAGCTAGTTGGTGCTATATCATAAGTGGATTATTGGATGCTGTGGATGGTCATGCTGCTAGATATTTCAATCAGAGTGAGTGTGTCTTTTCTTCATTTGTAAGGGGGCATGTACATGGACATTTGATATAGTAAGCGAGTTATGACATTGTATGAGTAGGTAATTGATTTCAAAGGTTTTAAATTCATGTTTTTTCTTTGTAAATAGGTACCAAATTTGGAGCCATTCTTGATCAGCTTACAGATCGGTGCGGGACAATGTGCTTGTTGGTTACTCTGAGTTACTTTTATCCCAAATACATGTTTTGGTTTCAAATGAGCATGTCAATTGATGTTGCCTGCCACTGGATTTATTTGCATTCGTAAGATGTTTTATGAGATTATAAAGCGAAATGTTAGAACTGGCATTGATCTTTTGTCAATTCATGCTCTGAAACTATCCTAAAATGTGTTTCAGGTCTCTTTTACAAGGAAAAACTAGTCATAAATTTATTGATATGTCAGAGAATCCTATAATGCGGATCTACTATACCTCTCGGCCTGTACTTTTTTTCATGTGTGCAGGCAATGAAGCATTTTATGCCTCTTTGTACTTGCTGTACTTCACTGAAGGCCCTTTAGGTTAGTAAAAATAAAAATGGCCTAGATATGTCATTTATGATAATTAGGCGAGAAATCTACAGTAACATCTTTTGAAACCCATATATTCAGAATAAATAAAGAAATATTCCCACTCTTCTCCCTCATTTCAGTCCCATCAATTATCCGCTTCTTTCTTCAATTTCATCTTTCATGACACTAATCCTTTTTTCCATTCCTTTTATTCTTGAAACAGTATTCGTGATAATGATGCCGACTTGTCTATTTTTAACTATAATTAGGAATTTGTGTTTACTTTTCAATATTTGTACTATCGGTTGTTTTAATGTGAAAATTTATGTTTCAGTGGCAGGCTTCAGCGTGTTCCGGGGTATCTGCTTCCTTTCTGCTCCTGTAGCAATAGTGAAATCTTTGATTTCTCTTTTGCATGGTGCTGTTGCATGTAAAAACCTCAGCATCATAGATCTGAAAGAAAGAGAAGTCATAAGGGCAGCAAAGGGTCAGTAAATGTTGGCATTTACACATGATACTTTTGCATTCCCATCACATCCTCCAATAATAGGTTGATGTTGATTGTTCGATAGATAATACTTTAGCTCCAACAGTTGAGGTTTTGTGTTGTTGTTAGAACTGCTTGTATAGAATAACAACATTCCTGATTTTTAAATGTGGTGAGACAGAATCCAAGAAATTGAATTCTAATTTGTTCTCTGTGAAAGCTACCATGAATTGTTATTTATAATTATCAGCATTTTATGAGATTCAAGAGCTACAGTAACAATTTAAGGGGAGAGGTTAAGCCCTGTGCTCGCAATGTTACATTTTCATATTTTGAGACTTTCCTGAAGAAGTGTATTAACTATATAGGCCATATTTTTTATGACATATTTAGTGCACCCACTGAATTGTTATGGCTCTACATAATTGTATATCAATAAACTATGATTTTCTCGATTATGATTTTGTTTTACATTTTCTAACAAAGAATATTTTTATCATTAATAATTTTCAATGGAGGAAATTAAAAAACAAACTCAGTGAATGTGCTATTACTAGAGCCATATTATGGGGGTAAAAAAATAATTTGGATGTGATAAATAGTTTCTGAGAAAGTGGGTCATTTAACAAAAAAGTTTGTTTTCAGCTAAAGCAATTTTAATATTTCATTGTACCTCAGTGCACAGAGTATTAATGATCTTTCTCATTGTCTTTCTCTTTTTTTGTAGCCATTCTATTTTGTCTCATGTCATTTTGAACATTCTTTTAAATTTATTTTCTCATATTTGATTTTTTAACTTTTAATATATTACTTTCCTCATATATCTTCACAGCAGTTTTGTCTGTTCTTTGTTTAAATGATTTGAAATGATTACTTTGTCAAAATTGATACTGTTAAATGTAATTACATCATTATCTAAGCCAGATCGAAATAGTACATAATGTGGATGGCAGCAATTTCAGTATGAATCCCCCCTCCCCACATTGATACTTTTGAAACAGTAACAAAATGAAATTGTTAGCCAGGAATTTTAAAAAGCTCATTTATAATGTAAATAATTTTTTGAAATGTGATGCGATCAATATGCAGTAAAATTTTTGAATACATCAAATCAAAAAAATTAGATTTTCGAGGGGGGACAGCCCCCATACCTTTTCGTACCTAAATTGACTACCAAATACACATGCACACTTAGATTTTCAGAGGGACCACATCAGAGTTTTTGTAACTACTTCACCAATATTGTTGAAAGACTCTCGAGTGTGATAATGCAAAGATGCCTAAGGAAATGCGAGATTATGCTATTATTCATATTAGTAACTGTTGATTTGGGCCCCATCAACTCAAATTTTGGGACTCAGATATTGCTCTGGGGGAACCTCTGGTGAAAATGGGGCATGACCCATATTACATCATGGGATTTAAACATCAAAAAGAAACCACCATGGGCTAAATACTTTATGAAAAAATTATTTTGCAATACATTAGAAGTACACACTGAGTACAATTTTTTTTTTGTCACCCAAACAGCTTAACACCTCCCTTTAAACAAAAGTAAAGCCAGTCTACTAAAATCATGGCATTCTTTATTAGGGTACTTTGTTTATTATCTTCCAAACGCATATTATTTCTTAAAATAAGAAAAATCTGAATTGACCACAGACTTGATTAAAATACATATAGTATAGAATGCAGATGAACAAGGGTATGATGTAAAAGGACATACTTTAATAAGTCTCAGAATATAATTATCATCATATCAGATTGCCTTTATAAGCTGTTTACTTACATCTTTGGAGTAGATTAAATAGGTTTTTATCATGTCCAATATAATAAAGCTTCCTGCAGTAAATAAAATGGTTCATTATTATATTTGACGAAACAAAGAGTCCTTCTGAAGTTAATATAATACCATTTATTATATAGGCATAGTTAGAAAATAGAATGTCAAAAAGGTGATCGGATAAGACAAATGTGTATCTCAAAAGGCTGAAAGACTTATGTGCTCGTTAATTATTTTACACTTGTACTAATCTGCTCTAGCCTAACCTACTAATAATTGTCACTTTAAGCATCTGGTAAAATAGTTATTTATTACCTTCCTGAAAGTATTATTGTGTATATTAATTTATTACACATTGAGTTAGTCTTTCAGAATTGTTTACAAAGTAATTAAGTTCTTTTCATTCACTCCTGTTATGTGAAGGGCATATTAAAACTTAATATTTCTAGTCATTTTCATATTAAAATGAAATTCAATGAAAAGATGTGCCAAGGCCACGAAACTACCATGTTTTTTAGTGAATTTCTTTTGAAACACTGCTCTAAATCTTGATTGAAACTTTCGAGGTAGGTCAGTTAGTCAAATGAAAAAAAAAAACTTGCAAGTTCAAAATAATGATCAATACTCGACTTTTGTTATTGACTTATCCCAAGCAGGCATAAACATTATGCCTATTATTGTTGACTATTTGGAGATAAGAGATTACTGCCTCATTGACCTGAAGGACTTTTGAGATAGTATTTTAATCCAGTGTAGGTTATATCAGTATGTAGTATAATAGTTGAGACAACCTTTTCTAGTAACAAATATTACCAAAATGCTTGTAGCTACCTTAATTAATCATTTAAATATGTGTGGTAAAAGAGGGTACTGATTCTAGAATTTAAAAAAATGTGCAGATTGTTGTATTGTTTCTGTTCTGTTTGTGACTGCAGAAAAAAAATGCTCAAGCAAATTTCATTCTGGTTAAAATTAGTCAAGTATGACTATTTGCAAGTCATGTTTCTTTACTCCTATAATTTCTCTTGTTTATGATTAGAAAGTGTTATTGTTGTAACTATGGGGACAGACTTATTAACTAAATAGGTTTCCCTCTGTTGCAAGAGCTTCTTAATGGTTGATTAAAATGTACACTGCAATGTGTAGCTATGTAAAATGATTCTCTTCTTCAGAAATATGAAGAACACTTATGTATAGAGCCCGTAGTTGGCAGGAAAATGAACTATGTGACGATCAATAATGAGCCCATATAATGCAATGTTATACCAATAACTTATTCTTGTCATGTTTATAGCCTTCATGGTTATTTTATTTATAACATTTTGTTTAGTATCCAATGTAGTTGTAAAACCAAAGAAATAAATATAAGAGACTGTTTTCAAAAATCAAAACAAAAACAATATTTTTGAGTTCAAAAGCTCAAAATTAGTAATCCTGTGGAAATAGAAAGTGTTTGACAGTTAATTCTTTATATGATGGTATATCGTATCTGTATCAATGCCACATGGAAATTAGACTTCTCTGGACGTGATTATGTAATCATCCTGTAGCAATGAGCAATTTTAAGAATAACGCATCATCACTCAGAACTGTCAGCCACATTCCTTTCCATTAATACAGGTGTAAATATAGAAAGCAGTATTGATTTTGATGATTATTCTTTGTTACAAGTTTTCCTTTTTTAATTATACACTTTTTTTTTAATGTTAAAAGTTATAATGTAGTAGTAATGTTAGTCAATGTGTTAAGTTTGTGTCAATGTCTTATATTTGTAAATTGAACTTTATTCCACAACTAGGATGTACAGTGAAACCTCTGAAAGACCACTCCCTCTCAATGTCAAATTTTCTTGAAACTTACAATAAAGCAAATATAGTCCCTTAATGTCAATCTTCTTCATTTACCTCTTTTAAGAGACCACTTCTAGGAAAATTGTAAGAATACAGTATACCAAATTTTTAGTTCAAATAAAAATTGTCGACCATGTAAATTGCATTCATGCAATGTGCCCTGGTCTGAGCTTCCATCGTAACAGAGCCTTCCTTAACCTATCTTTGTGAAATACATCTGAAACAATAGAATATAAAGATTGGATGTCAGGATTATTGACTAGACCCATAATGTGTGAATGTGAGTTGCGTTCTGAATCTGTGCCAAGCACTCGCCCAAACCCATCGCTTGATGTTTTGTCTTGATTCACACAGTGTGAGAAAAGTGAATTCTGAGGCCCTTAAGATATAGAATGTGTCATGTATACCCAAAGACCATCATGACACTGTACAAGAAAATGGAGGTTTAGTACCAGTAACTATTGGGAATACTAAAACTGTAGGTTGTGTGAACAATTGTTTAATAATTTTCATGCATTTACATAGTTAATACGTATATCAGAAATATACTTGGTCAAATTATTACTCCCTCCCCTTGCCAAAATGTTATATTTTTCATAATTTGAGCACATGTTCTTAAAAGCTGCTAAATATGTTTGTAGGGTGAAAATAGGCACTTTTCTTAACATCCAATGTCTAGTAAAAAACATGTCTAAGCCAAAATCGTTTGGGTCCAACATTTTCTTGTCTTGTGCAGGTTTCTGGCTTATTCAGGTTTGCAATAAAAAAATCAATCAGAAAACGCAATCATTCAAAGATGAAATAGGTAGTACGAGATGACCCAGGATCACTCGTCATGTGTCTCCTTCCTTCTCACGCACTTGTGAACGTCAGTGCTATTACAAATAAATAGTGACTTTTGCACAATAGTATGGGAAATATGAAGTTCAGACAAGAAAATGACATACAGGAACAATTCAAAGGTTAATGGAAAAAAAAAAAAAAATCCATAAAAAAGAAAATATTATATTCTTCAATATTTGTCGGAACAGATGAATTCATCTGATTATTTAGGCTTTGGCTATTGGCCTAAGTACTTGTAAATATTGTGGCAACCACCTATAAAAAAATTCTTTTTACCACTCATTCTTGATTTTGTCTTTGTTTTTAAGGTGTCATACACTTGAGTTTGAATTTCAGTGTCAAAACTTTGACAGAAGTGGTGTTTTGTTCATGTTTTTCACTGCCTGGTAAACACTGCATTAACACATTACCTGCAACTCTTTGAACTGAACCCAAAGTATGCATTACAAGAACTGTGGAAGGATCACTCTTCATGTCTCTTCTTCCTTCACACGCACTTGCGAACATTAGTGCTATTACAAATAAATAGTGACTTTTGCACGAGTATCATGAAATATGAAGTTCAGACAAGAGGAGCTGAGATATGGTTGAGCCCAGCTCTAAGTATCTGGTTAAAATGTCACCACACAAGTCCAGGTTTAATTTTAAAACAATTTTTGTTTTCCATCTTATCCAGCATTTTTGATACTGTTGTACTGAAAATTCCTTTTTGTGTCCACATTAAGCAAGTTTCTGGCTTATCCAATGTACTGTAGTCTGTTATGAGATATTTGGCTGGTGAAGGCAGGTTTCTATCTTATCCAGGTATTACTGTAAAAACCAATTTCTTGTAGTAAAAAATTCCACTATAAAGCAACTACTCTTTGAAAAGACCACATTTTTCATGGAACCTACAGTGGTTCCATAATACAGGTTTCTCTGTTTTCTAGTGTGATTATGTATTACTTCGTGTATTTTGTAATGTTATTAATAACCCATGAACCTAATTCTGTTCTATCTGCTGTAATTTTTACCCATGTAGTGACGAAATTATATTTGTGTAATAAAATATTTCATTAAATATGCACTGTGTAATTTTTCTGTTCTTTAACTTTTGAAGGTGGCAGATCATTACCCAAATTAACATAATTGTTTAAAGAAGAATATTTTTTATACCACAAGTCTGAATATTACATATCTTGAATCAATAGAAGTAGATGACACACACTTTATTTACTATAAAATTAACTTACAATGCCCAAAGTACTAGCTAGATTTATAAAATTTTCGAAGACTTATCTTTTGAATACTTTCCTAGATCAAACTTAGGATGCAATATTAAATTCACTATGAAAGTTGTCATGCCAACCTAATGTGATACATGTCAAAATTTTCCTGAGAAAATGATAATTATTGGACTATTAAAATTGTGGATTGTTTACAATGTGTCAAATGGAACCTTCCATGGAATTGCTGCAGGTCAGTTGTGAACTGAGCCATATGTCCACTCTATCATCCAGTTTGTGTGCCCAGCAATTTCCATCTTTTCTTATTCCTCATGAAATTCTTGTCCAGTCAGCATTGTGTACCACAATGATGCAGACATGCAGGTGGCTTTCAAACAATATCCTGTGGGCAGCAGACTGTTTCAACACAGGGATACAAAGGTTGATCCCACTGTAAAACCTGTATTTCTGGTGTGGAAAAACAATCCCACATATGCTGTACTTGTAACAAAAACATACAATCTTTGTTGACGGCCTATGGAAACTTACGTTTCTGAATGTGCCTCAGAGAAACATAATTGTTATCCCAACACAGTAGCATTGTTATTGCATATGTGCCTATGCTGCACTCCCCCCCCCCTTTACCAAAGATAACTATTAGTCTCTTGGAATTCTTCAAGAACCATTCATCCAAATAAACATTGAAATTAGTAAATTGAGATGACCTTGTGCTGTCCAACTTTATGCTGTATAAGAGAGTGCAATTAGCACTATCCAGTCTAAAAGTATGAAGAAAAATTTGGGGCTGTTTTTGAGAAAATTCAGAGGTAAACCTGATAGTTGGGCATATGCCACATTTAAAAGTATTTTACTTTATTCTTACAAGATATGAAAAGAAAAAATTTGGAGCCATTAAAAAATGTTTGGGGAGCTTCATGTAAAGTATCTTCAAATTTGAAAGATTTTTTTCAAAATCTCAAAGCTTCGACTCAAGCCCATTTGACACTGGCTTCAATTTGAGAAGAAGAGGAGGTAAAAAACACACTCAAGGTTTAGACGCTAGTGATGTTCACGGATCAAAGACGTGAAGAAGTAACAGCAGAAGAAGAAAAAAACCTTTTTCGGTATCAGGGGACCCCAAAACGTGCAAGTCTGTTGAAGTCTTGAATTCGATTTTCTGCAGCCTTGCATAACCTATGTATACGGGAAAGTAATATAAAGCCGAACCAACTTCGCTTAATCTCCGAAAATAGGACGACCTCGCTTTTTCAGCTTAGATATTTAGGAGAAAAAGACATACTGAAGAATACTTTGTTTTATACAAGACATCCCTTGCTTCCACATTAAAACCGAAGGACTGATTAGGGAAAAAAATTAACTTGAAATTTTAAAAATGTTTAACATTTTCGAGAAAATTTTGTTCATGTATTTTCTATTCATCTTTTTTCCACTCAAAATTATTCTAAATCTATTTATATTTTTAAAACATTGTTCACAAGACTATTTCAAGATTTTGAAGAACTGATTTCATTAAAAAAGTATTATCTCCAAAATGATAGTTGGTGAAGGGTGTTGAAAAAATACTTGACTTATGGAATTTATGAAAATTCAGACGTTCCAGTGAAAATTGAATTGATCTTATTTTTATAAGCATTGTCTTCTTCAAACTTTTAAAAAGAAATTGAAATATGTATGTAAAGAAAACAAAATTTCGAGCCATTCTTTGAGAAAATTTCGTTAACAGCCTCACGCTCCAAAAATATCCATTTTAAATTCAAGGGGTCGAAACATTTAGAGTATTCGCAAAATGAGACACCGATCCATGATGCGACGCATGGGGAGTTCCTGCGAATCTATGCTTATCGTGAGCATCCAAAAGGAAAGTAATATTAATTTTTAAAAATGACATTTAATGTATTATATATTGTGTTATATAATGTATTAATATATTATATTTTTGTCACTATCATCATCCTCTTCTTCATTCATAATATTCATTCTTTCTGGACCTTCCCCATATCATGTTAGTTCTCATCAAAAGCTTTGACAGTTGAATTTGAATTGTCTTTTATCTGATGTCACCTAAGAACATTCCTTTCTGTGACATTTAATTTTATTTCAGCTGCACTGTTGTTCATGATCTCTGATTCTTCAACAAACATTAACTCGACATTGTTTAACATCTGCTGTGTCCAGTAATAGTAGTAAATGGTGAACTTGATCCCCTTAATGACAAAAATTTCAGCCATAATTTTCATATTGAGTTTCACTTTCAAGAATGTCATTTATTTGATATTCTCTTAAATAACTGTTCATAAAATTTTATCTATATCACATGGCACATCTACAATGGATACCAAGTCAACATGTCTAGATATTATAAAAGGTGGTCCTAAGAAGTATCTGAGTAAGTATCATTTGCCACAGCAATGTAGCCTAATAAGTTACAAGAGCTATTGAATGTAGTTTTTGTCCATCTTACATTTCGATACAAGTTATTGAAAAATGAAAAAAATTAATGAAATTTTCCTGTAAATTTCCCAATGAAACAACAGTAGTAGTGGTTCCCTGTAATTGGCCAGATCATTCATCCATTCCTTTGCAAGAATAGTGTTTAACAAAATATGCACAGCAGACTGCATATAAATTTTTGAATTTTTATTTTGGACAAATCTGTACCACAAGATATCATGAGAAGCTTGGTTGATAAATTCCCATACAAAACTTTGAATACTGTGGTGCACAATCGGGCATCCTTTCGGGTTGCATAAAAAAGGTGTATATAGAGAGTACACTCATGCCACGAAAGTATATGCAATACACAATAATCTTATAACTATATCAGAAAGTGAAAATTGTTTTCCACATTTTCTCTCAAAAACAACTATTGATTACTTCAAGTATTCATCAAACAAGTATTGATTATATATTCAAATAAATACAGTAAAATAAAGAACATTACTGATTTCAAACATAAATATAATTTATTCTTATGGTTCTTACTCAAGTTTCAACACAAAGACTTCCTTACACAATAAGAAAAATTGCCAATTTTTAACATGAAAACTTTGGAGACAGAAATGTAATGAAATGCCAGAATATTGGCTGCGTTTATTAGTTATGTAAATATTAGAAACACACAAAAATGATAAATTGCAGAAAACAGATTATATAACATGCAGGTACTCATATGCATTATTATCAATCATTGCACACATTTGCATATAAACTACATATAACAGCACAAGATCTTATATTTTCTTGAAACAACACCTGTATGAACTTACATGTCCAAACTATAGCTTAGAAGTCGGGGAAGTAGCAAGGTTTACAGGATTCCCAAGTAATAAACTCCAAAGATGCATTAATAAGTAAAAGACTTTAAATAAAACATTCATGTGGCAACTTTTTATGACAAATTACATGAAGTTATCACAGCAGCTGACATATAATTACAAACATTGTGAAAAAGAAAAAATGTATCTTATTGTTCATATAAGAAAAAGATCTGCATTAGCAGTACATTTTCTCTCAGTTCCACCCAATCTTGGGCTATTTAGTAAACCAAACAAACAATGATGAACATATCACACTTACTCTCTAATTACAGAAATATCAGAATTTTCAAAAATCAGGTCATGTCGAGCAGGATACACCACTTTTAAGTTTCCTTCTACATCAACTATTTTGACCTGTAAAAAGAAAAGAAAGGTATTGATTGAAAATGTTGCTTATTATTAATAGAAAAAACCAAAGAAACTATCTATCAGAATAGCCCATCAATAGTGTTCTCCTCCAGGCAGTGGTTGTATTTGATCTAGTTATATGGTTAGCATCGAAAAAGAACTCCCGATCAGCAATGCTTTATTAGAATATGAGATTGGAGAATTATTAAAGGAGGTCATTAGGTTGGTTTGAAAGCCAATCAAGTATGTATTGTATGATTTACAATACAATAACATGTTTTATTAACTTAGTAAAACTTCATTACATTTACACACTTAGTAACAATCTATAATTTTCAGTTGAAATTTGACCATTCACCCTTAAAAGGGTGTCAAGACTGATGTTGATAGTCGTTAATAGGAGGGAAATGATTATTAGAGCCATTGTTTTTAATAATCTTCAAGTCAAACCTATATATCAGTTTTGTATACATAGTTAGACTTTAGATAGGCAAAGTGGATATATTATAAGGCTTTTTTCTCCTTTTCTGCATAATTTATAATTGATCATATCCTCACAACTTGATTAATCAAGCATTCCTCATTTAAGTAATACATAATTGGAGGTTGGATGTAGTTGCAAAAAATGTTCCTTTCACAAAGTTTGTAGATCATAAAATACTAAATGCAACCAAATATATTTTCATCACAAAATATTATCGATAAATTACGATTTACGATTACCAAACCCAATATTTTTGATTTCATTTCTAAATTACAAAACAGAATTTGAGGATCAATTTTTTTAAAACCTCCATCCAAAACTGTATAGGGTTTGTCCATAAATTACCTAATGCAAGTCTGGAGTATTTTGAATACCTCCCTCTTCCCCTTTCAAAGGTGGACGAAATCCCCTAAATAATTATGTAACATTGGTGACAACAACTCCTAATTTACAGTAAGTAAGTACATTAAATAACATTAAAAAGTAGTTTTATTAATTTGATTTATGATATATATGAACATTTGTAATAAATAAATAAAAAAGAAAGGAAAGAAAGAAAAGGAAAGGGATAAAAAAGAAATCAACTTTTCACAACACTAAACTAACACCCCCCTACACCTATGAAACACAGCATACTGCTGCCTCAAACTCTCCCCCCCCCCCCCTTAGTGTTCCGTAATTTGTTGATGACCCCATAATTTGAAATAGTTTTCTTACCTGTTCTATACAAAGACTGTGAAAGCCATTACACTCTTTATCTGAACCATCTCCAAGGCCAAGATTTAGCATTTCTGTAAGTAGTGTGTCAAGTACTTGACGGCACTTGGTTTGAGAAGCTGCACTTGTCACTTCCAGGAAGAGAGATCTTGTGGAAAGTGACAGCTGTAAAAATATATTCATGAAATAAATACATGAAATTCAAAGAGAGACTCTTTCTTGTTTTAAGTGTATATCATACAGTGTGTCTAGAATTACATTCAAAATTTGCTTCAAGCCTATTTACCTAGCCTCCAAAAACTCTTTAAAAAAAGGTGTAAACTAGTCTCTTTGATTTCTAATATTATTATACACAATCATGGATAGTATGACGACCGACCAAACGACTGGTAGATGGATGGATGGTTGGATGGAAGGATAGATAGTCTGACAGACTAACCAATGGATTTATTTATTGATTTACAGTCATCAGTAAAAACTAATAAACGCACGAATCAGGGTAATTTTTTATGATAATTAATATATATAAATATAATTGTAAATCTCACACACAGTTATGTAGAAAAATAGAATACTTTGTTGGTTACTTAAGTAGTGTTTGAAATGAAGTAGAAATAAAAAGATAAAAATATAAATTATAGAAAAATAAACAAAGATTATAAGTTATGTTACATCCAGAGGTTCACATCTTGGTCCGTCATCCTATCCTGTTGTAAGCTACTTTGAAAGTTCAAACACACGGCAAGGTAATGATTTCTTCTGGTAGACGATTTTAGAACTCTACAATGTGAATTGATAGAAGTTTTGTTTTGGAGTTGTTTAAATTTGGCTTTGGTTAGTTTAAACTGTGATCTCTCAAGTGGGTATTTCAAAATTGGGTAAAGATGTCTGCTAATTCGTGATATCAGTAAATCCTCTCCTAACCTTGAAGGTTTTGATGAGGTCTGCATGAAGACATCTCTCACAGAGTAGACATCCAATTCTCTAAGATGAGCATTGTATGCGAGAATTCACAAACATGGTACTTTTGGGTGGCAATCCACTGTTTGTTCTCCAAAGTTAAGATGCCCTTTTTCAAATACGGATACCAAACAGTGCTTTCATATTCAATAATGGGAAGGATGAAGCTTTGGTAGAGAAGTTTAAATGATTTGCCATCTAGATATATAAAGGCTTTCCTCAGGAGAAAAGGTTTTTATTTGTTTTTTTTTGTTTTGTTTTGTTTTTTTTAATAATACAATTAATATGTTTCTCCCACTTCAAGTTGTCAAAAATCGTTATCCCCAGGCTTTTTCCTGGTTTCAATTTTCTGTCCTTTAAGATAGTAAGGTAAACAAGTGTTGCTTTTACAAATGTGAATTACGGAACTTTCTGCCTCGTTCAGAGGAATAAGCCAAATCTGCAACCATAAAGAGATATAATCAAGGTCTCTTTGTAAGTCTTCATAGTTAGTAAGCGGGTTGGCTGATAGTCTGGAGTTGTTAAGAAACAGCGAGATCATACTTGGAGTGTTTTGTCCTTGCATAGCATGAGATAGATTGCTAGTACATACAATATATAGCACAGGTCCAAGTACAGATCACTGCAGGACTCCACTAGTCAAAGTATAGTTGTTGGATGTCTTGTTCCCATCTTTGACTCTAAATGTATGGCCAGTAAGGAATGAAGATATCCACGCGTGAAGTCTCCCACAAACTCCAAGATAGAAGAGCTTCAGAACAAAACGCCTGTGAGAGACTTTATCAAAAGCCTTTGAGAATTCAAGATAAATAACATCTGTTGGATTACCAGCATCCAAATCGTTAGTCCATTGATGGATGTTCTAAAGATTTGTCACAGCAGATCGATTAGGAACAAACCCATGTTGATGTGGCGGAACAGAACCTGCCTAAAGGGCGAATTTCACAAGCCTCTCCACAATGAGGCATTCCAATTTCACATGTGGCACTAAAACTAATGGGTCAGTTGTTTCCTGCATTACATTTATCATCTTTCTTGTGAATAGGAGTTATTACAGCTGACTTCCAGTTAAGTTTTAACTCCCGTATACAAATAAAGAGCGAAATAGTTGAAATAAATCAGCCGAAATTACTTCACAAATTTTTTGAACCGCACAATGAATAGATATTCAAGCAGATTAATATGTGTAATGCATTTGTTGGTTGGAAGTCAATGGCGAAGAAAATTTCTGTCTGGTGTGAGAGTAATGTTCGAAGTGAGCACATTGGTTCAATAATATTAGATTTTGCAAACTCCAATTCAAAGATTTCTGCAATTTATTGAATGGATACACTGACAGGTCGATCAACCTTCCGACGGATAGTCTGACGGAACGACACACCCATCGACGGATAGTCTGACGGACTGACGCACCCTCCGATGGATAGTCTGACGGACTGACGCACCCACCAACGGATAGTCTGACAGTTGACCCACCGATCGACGGATGGATAGTCTGACATACTCGCCGATCAACTGATAGATGGAAAGATGGTCTGACGGACTGACCAACAGATGGATAGTCTGACGGATTGACCCCCCCGACCGATGGAGAGTCTGATGGACTGACCCCCCCGACCAATGGAGAGTCTGATGGACTGACCCCCCCGACCAATGGAGAGTCTGATGGACTGACCCCCCCGACCGATGGAGAGTCTGATGGACAGACTCTGTAGGACTGCCCGATCGATTGATGAATAGTCTGACGGATTGACTGGCCGATGTTCAGAAAATAAAAAAAACAAGTCATTGATGAGACCCCTCATAGCTTTATCAAGAGAAGAAATACACTCATACTTTTGATTGTTGAGTTTTTCGGTTTTTCATTATCTCTCATTTTCTGGTAATTTTTGATTTTTATATCATGTATTTGTGAAATATTATGCGAGGAATAACTAATGTTAGCCCATCAAAAAGATTTTATATAATTTAGTTAGCATAGTCCAAGTCTGTGCAAAGGCAATAAGTCTTCAGCAAAGTATCTATTGATACTTTACTATTTCATGTAGACAGTATGTATACGTGTATGGTAACTTGATAAATATATTCAAAATCCATTCCACTTAGAAATGAAATGGTGATTTCAAAAGGGAAATAAGTCTACTTAAAAAGGTTGAGATATATATTGTCTTTGTTATCCTTCAAGCAACAGGACAGTGTATAAATTAAACTTGTCCAGCTTAAAGTATGTACTCTATTGCCAACTAAAAATTCTAATGCCTGGAAATGAGAAAGAAGTCCAGTACTACTTTCTGATACTCATACAGAAGAACTAGTATTATCACCTTGGAAACGCCTTAATGGTTCATTACAACAGTAATAGACACCAAGGACGTCAGAAGATGTTAAATTCTGGTGATCAACAATTTTAAGAAGTGCTCTCTTACTTGTCCAGGTAATCCTCATTGTAAGCCTGGTGTGACTAAGTAAAGCAGCTAATGTATGATGGAGAATGTTTTGGATACCTAGTTGCACTTGAGTACATACATTGATGGGTTTATGGAGGTCATGCCAATAGTTTTCGAAGTCCACACAAGGTCACACCACGACAATGCTCCTACAGCCATAGCTGCAAGAACAATCAAATTTCTCTAGTGTGAACATGTGCAATTGTTGCTCCATCCTCCCTTTTGGTCCCTTGTGGTTTCTTTTTGTTGCATCAAACTAGGAAAAGATCCAAACATAGCGCTTTTCTTCAGAGAGGTCACGGAAGCCTACATTGATGCTATATACACCATTCCTGAAGGGACATGGAGTGACACCTTTTGTAAGTGGTTCCAAAGGATGGAAAAGTGTATATGTATTTACTTGGCTGTCCGGGTAATGCCACGTCCATGGCGAAGGTGTCGACGTCTCGGTTGCCATTCTGCGACCTTCTTCACGGAGTAATGCTGGCTAATGAGGAAGGTCGCAGAATGGCGACTGAAACGTCGGCACCTTCGCCATGGATGCGGCGTCACCCGGACAGCCAAGTAAATACTGACTCCGGACACGGAAGCCTACGCTCTCAAGTGTATATGTGCTCATAGAAAGAATTTTAAAAGAAATTAACATTTAGACTTTCAAGAAATTCAATATTTTTAATTCTGCTAAAATCTTTCGACATAATCTTGTATCAAATACTCATTCAAAAGGCTCACTCACTCATATGCAAAAGGGTAAGCATGTCCAGATTTGCCTTTAAAGAAAGTTTAAGGCTTAGTTGTTCTTCCATAAACACACAAAATGACCTATTTTGAAAAAATAGTAATATACATTTCACATAAATATCTCCATTTCTACCACAAAGTTTTGGCGTAGGCACAGACTCAAGTGTAAAATTGATAATGAGTTGTTCCTGATATTATTAATTTAGTAATAGTATTTTTCATGTCCACATTGTACAAATCTTAATTCACATCATATTCATTGTATGATTATATTGTTACATATGTCCAAAAATAATGAAATTTAAAAAAATATTTAAAGGATATTCCATGGTATAATAATTGTTCTGTACATCACAGAAATGCTAATTTCAAGTTACAGAGCAGCCACATCAATCAATAACTACTAGTTCTACAACTTTTGTGGAAAATATTAATGTCCCAGACGCCAACTGTGAATGTTATTAAGATTTTTTTTCCAGAACTATGGAGCGAAGACTTATTTCCCTTTACAAATCACCGATTCACATTTTCTCACCTATAAGAATCTTTGCTTTTAATTATGAGATTTTTAAATGTTCACTTTATTCACTCACATTTCTTAATTCATAAGGACACAATGGAACAGATATTAATTATTTATTTTTCATTAAAAATAAATGGGTTATCAGAGATTCCTCACATTAGGGTTTGCCTTTAGAAATGGTTTAATCACAAAGTACCCACATACAAAATGAGCAAGGTTGAAATTATCTGTTATGTTCTGAGTGTCATTTAAAGATGTCTGGTAACTAAATCATAAAATGTAAATAATTTGCTAAGAATATTTAAGAAAACTATTGTCTGAAAAGAAAAACAAACAGTACAACAACACTTTGCACATCTGCATGACAGCCCTCCACACTTGATAGTGCACCCTGATTTTTTAATGTGAAAATATTGATCTTCAGCACCAAATTTCTTCATACATAGGAGTGGCATCTCTGATTCTATAAACATTTTAAAATGCATTTTAGAACGTTTACATATTTTTAAATGTATTTTTCAAATGTTTAAACATTTTAAGAAGTGTTTTTGCTATGCAAGTTTATAATAAAAAGTTGAAACACAACAAAGCTGACAAGCACATCCTTGCTCAGCAACTAAAAAAGTACTAATTAAGACTTGAAATTAAACAATAAAATTATTATACGAAAATGTCCTTTGTCACACCTCTTTGAGCCAATAGTTCATCCAGGTTTTAGCCTACACGCACCCACCTCAACATTGTTGGAGCACCACTCCCAAACTAAAAAAATTTTTTTTTGAGGAGAGAATCTTTTTTCATTGTATTAGGAGAATATAATGTGAATTTCTTACCTCAATGTAGAAGCAAATAAATTGTAATAAATGATGTTAATTAATTTTCCTCAAAACAACTACAATGGATCTAATTACAATGAAGGGACACTCACACGGTAACTGATGTCTATTTGTAGGATGGTTATTCATTTATTTTATCATTCACTGCCACTGAGTTGCTTTGGATGGTTCTGAATAAGTGACTTAAATTACTCGAAAAGTCTGGAGATTTGTTTTTATTTATTTATTTATTGAACATTTTTACAAATGGGTTTCATTATGCATTCAACTTATTAAGAGTGGACAGTATGCTAACGGATATTTCTTAGGTCGAATTCTCTCTTTCAATCTACTCATGGAGGGGACAATACGTAAAGGGATATGGACTGTTTCTGTTGGACCAAATCCCTAGGAAGCAATTGAAGTTGCAAAAATCACATGAATTACTTACCTTTGTTATATCGCTGTTAGTAATTGGTGGAAAAGAAACTACTTTATCTTCACTATTCAATAACACAGGAAAAACAGACTTTCCTTCCAATAGGTAGAGATACCTTAAAAAAAAAACTAATGTCAATAGAATGTTTTAAATATTCATTTTAATACTTAACACACAAAAAATTCAATTGAACTCTAACATAAAAATTGATAATTCAATATTTTTTCAAAGGCTAACTAATTTCTATTCAACTGATAAATAAATTCTAATACAGTTCATTTCAGGAGTCCATCAGAAGCTAATATAGATCTTATTTGAATAAATATCAATAACGGTATTATTTAAGTTTTCCTAGAATATTATTCAGTTTCATTATCATCTTACTAATACTAATCAATGCTATTCTGGGTCCATCATCTGTAAATATAATTTCATTATTAATATTTATAACATATTATATTGTATAACATATTTGACACACGGTTTAAAAAGTCTTTTTTAAACAGTTTCAACATGCTCGGTTTTCATAGTACACACCATTTTGATAACTGCAATGGAGGTTAATAAAATGTTGTCCCTAACATCAAAGGAAATAATGGACTTTTGAAACAATATTAATTAATAATATAATGAAAAATTAAATAAACCGAACGTTAGTTGGAAGTTCAAAACATAAACTTTGCAGACCGTGTCTAGGTTCAAGTACTGTTTATGCCAGGTATTTTCGAAAATAGATAGCTTGTTTTGTAAACCATCACTGCCCCGATGAAAATTCTAGCAAGTTGGCTGCCATGAGAAGCATAACATGATGCTCATTGAATTTATCAAAATGGCTTTGAGCATCAACCACTGATTCTCAGTCACGATGTGTTTCTATAGTTGTGAAGAGCAGCATTCACTTCTCAGATCTGTGTTACATTAAAAGAGCTTAAAATATATGTCTGTAACAATAAAATATAATTTTGGCAACATGGAGGTGAATCGAGTGTTGATGGCCATGTTGATGTTGTTCATGGCATGATATCAGGTAAAGATCTCAACTTTATCTTGCAGATTGCTAAAAAGGGCTCGGCCAGAAGGTTCATCATTTTCTTGATTATTGTGGCAGTCAATCTGCTAGTTAGACTGCTCATAATGGTAATTTCTTTTGTTTCCTGAGATCAATTGCACACATGCTGAAGCATTTCCCCAACCAAGCAATGAACCCCACACGATCCTTCCTGCCAAATACTTTAGGCCGTGCAATAGGCTTATCTTCCTAATGGCACAACCCTAAGTGATTCAAGATAATCTTTACCTAGTGTTGCAGTTCTGAGAAGCATTATTTGCAAATAGTATAAACAAATGCAATATGGAGAATATTATTTCAGTACTGTTAAAATCCCCTGAATTATTTTTAAAATGTAAATAAACCAAGGGAATTATAAATTCTCAGAGCTATTTTATTATTGTAACAACTTTATTATGAGTAATATTTGATTTTTACTCATATAATCCTACATATATGCATAATAATAGCTTTCCTTAGGATACCTTCTCTATGCATAAATAATACATCATCCTGAACAGCAGGGTAGTAGGCCTGGTGCATGTTCCAGTTAAGACAGTAGATCTGGTGATTATTCCCCCACATGTTCCTGGGCAATCCATCTTTTGTTGGGTCTTCCTATGTTTCTTCACCCTATGGGTTTATACTTAAACTACTTTAGGAATTTTTTCCGCTTGCATTCTTCGCACATGCAAAAGCCATCTCCTCTGATCCTCTTTAATGTCATTCACTATATTTTTTGCCTTGAGTTTTTTTTCTGATTTCAGTGTTTCTTTGTCAATTTGGACGAATAATTCCTACCAAATACTGGAAAAGTCTCATTTGTGTGGCTTCTAATCTCTTACAGTCTCGGTTTTAGGGTCCATATATTTTAACATTGGCATAGATATTATGTTGTGTATTCTTAGTTTTGTCTCCATTGTCATATCTCTTCCAAAGTTTTTCTTGATTATTCCATTTACCCCATTATATTTTTAAATTTTCTTTCTTTATCTTCTGAATTTTTTCTAATGATCTTTCCTAGAAACATACATGTTACTTGTTGCTACTTGTTCTATTATTTTTCCATCTATAACAATTTTAACCCTCCTCATTTCTTTGTCTTGAAATGACATAATTTTAGTCTTATTTGTCAAGGTTTTCATGTCGTATGTTATGGCTATTTTATGAAGTTCATTTGATGCACTCTGTAAGCCATCTTCTGATTCTATTGTTAGGATCATGTCATCTGCATAGAGAATCATTTGGTCCATTTGTATTTTGTTTAAACTTAAACCACCTTTTGATCATGTGATTTGCATAAATGTAGAACAGGCATGGTGATAGCCCACACCCGACTCACTTCCTGTGGTTGTACTAAAAGTCTCAGCATTCCATCATTCATTGTTACTTTAATCTGAGTCTTTATACAGACTAGATTCCTTTTATTATGTCTGTACATATAATTTCATCTTCCACAATTTCCCACATTTTGTTTCTGTTCACCGTATCATAGGCTTTTTAAAAATATATAAAGAGGAGGAAAATTCGTAGATTCACTTCATTTAGTTTGTTCAGGATTGTCTATACTGTGAAAATAGCATCTTTTGTACTTCAGCCCTTTCTAAATCCATTTGTTCTTCCCCCAGACATTTTTTGCTACATTCATTTAATCTATTTCTTAAGATATTAGCAAAAAGTTTTGATACTGTAGACAGAAGAGTGATCCCTCTATAGTTGTTGGAAACTGTTTTTGATCCTTTGTGTAAATTTATCACTATACCTATCTGCAATTCTCCTGGAAGTGAATACTCTACCCAAGCGAGTACTTCTGTTAGAGTATTCTAAGAGATCACTTCATTCATATTTTACAAGTTTTGTGGGGATTTCATCCACACCCATTTTTTCCCTATTTTTGGCTTTCTTTAGTACTGCTAGTTCTATAGCTATTTCCTGTACTCTATTTTGTTCAGTAATTTCAGTATCATTTCTGCTTATACTTGGAGGTATGTCGCTATTCCACAGCCTTGTGAAATGGTTTACCCACTTCCACTTTGGAATTGGGATCCAAATTGATTTTGTGATTTTGATAAATAATACTTTTACAAATTAAATTAGTGACCTGAAACAAAGCAGTACATCTATGAAGTAAAAATAAAAAATATAAATAAAACAAACTAATAACTTCTAAACTTTTTTATTTGGGACGGCAGCATTTCTCCAGGGACTTGGCCTAGCGTGTGTACTTGTGGTGCCTTTCGTTGTCCTAAACACACTCAAACACTTGGTCGCAAAGGAGAAACAATTTCAGGCCACAGTGAAATAGAATGTTAGAAAATCCTCAGGTTTACAGTACATTTCTTACGACTGCCTAAGCATTCTGACAATGCTTGAGAAGCTTCCTGTTCCCGTGAAATCCGTAGTATGTAGATTGTTATGCTCAGTCGTTCATCAAATTCGAAAGCCCTTAAAATAGTTTACTTCTTCGATATTATTGATTAATTCTTTAATATTTTAATTTGATAAGCAAAGACTCAAGTGTGCTGACCAATAAGATTTTTCGGAAAAGTTTATTCTATTATCGTAAATATTGAAACCTTTCTTATAGCTAATCTAAACACAAATGAACCGAAGCAATGCTATTCTTGCCCTCTGTACCTGCTTCTGCTGCCGTTATGAATGACTTCCTTGACCCATCCAGATTTGGACATACAGCAACAAAAATCAGCTTCAGTTCATGTTTACTGTATGCAACAAGTGTGATGAACCCGTAAATGTGCATTTCTGATGATGATAATAAAAAAATAAAATTTAAAAAAGCCAATCTCATCTGCAGATGTGTGTATCCACACTGATCCAAGGATCTACTAACCACAAATCTCAAACCAACAAAACATGGTTGATTACATAAAATCTTAGGTCTTATTTCCACTGCAATAATAATGTGATACACACAGCAAATGGATTATTCATTAGAACACCTGGATATGTAGTGTATTTGGATTTAAAGAGGAATTTATAACATTTTGCTAACATTAGCAGCATTTGAGTCTGTGACCAAGTTGATTATAAGATGGTAGACCATTGCTAGAGGGTAGCAAATTCAAAAGGTCTATGAATATGTTCATGAATCTTAAAACAGTGCAAACCTTCACATGTATTACAACTTTAGTTGGCTGAAAAATACACAAACAACACGAACTGTTATACTTTCTTATTTGCGTCATGGAATCTGTAATTAATCATGTCCTTGAGAGTTTCATAAACTTGGGAGTGACAGAATATGTAATTAACCATAATGGCAACAGGAATAAAAATTCACATTTGTCTTTCACTTCTAAAACATCTTGCCTAGTAGTGTGGGAAGATGTCATGCAATGAACCTACGCTGCACTTCAAAAACACTAATTCATCCTTCTAGAATCCTAAACAAAGCACATGGCAAAATTGATGCAAACAATAGATTCTAGCATAAGCATGTATTCTGAATGCTGAATTGTTATGAAAACAACATATGGGAATCTTCTAGTAGAAACTAAACCATTCCTAAAGATATTGTAACTTTACAGCAATACAAGGTGTTTTCACAACACAAGTTACACTGAAAAACAAATGTCTTGTCCTTTATAATGCAACAATCACAGTGTTCCCATTCACGATGTGATTCAATGAAAAGCTTAACTGAATCACAGTGATCAAAGTAACAATGTGGCCCACTTTTCCACTGATTGTACTCTTCTTGAGATAATAATGCACCAAATATGAGCTTTCAAGCTGTCTTAAATGCTCTAGTTTGGCACATGATGGCATATGTTGCACAAACATCACATATATGCCATCAAAAGTAGCACTGTGGATACTTTTTATCTGAACGTGATTTCAGAATCCTAGCTGTACAGACCTAATTTTGATGACCCTTTATTAAAAAATTAATAGTTATGAATTACATTTTTTTATTTGCCTTCCAAGCTGAGCTCTTTTGGTACATACAATTACCTAAACCTTTGTTTCCATGGGAAATAATAAGAACAATGTAGTGCTCAGTGACATGATGAAAATTTTTACAATTCCCTAATGTTCATTCTTTAAATCTATAAAAAGGAATGGAGTACGAGTGCTGATGTGTGAATCTTCCACTAAAGTGATTTTGACTTTTGAAACACTATGAACAATATAGGAGGGTTTGAAATATCAAAACGTTATTGCAAATTTGGTTACACCCTTTAAATTTGTATCACTGGAAATGACACAACCCGCATGCAGGTGGTGCCATTGTTGTCAGGCTTTGCGATGCAGGGTGAGCAAAAATGGGAGGTTAGGTACAATGGAGTTGGTGGGTCAATTTAATTGACAACCATTTTTATTCATTAAAAAAATATAAATGGCACATGGCAGTACACTTATACATATGCCACATTTTCATAATCAACAGTGCTCAGTTTTAAAATAGATACAAATATCTCACTTATCCTGAAATGCACTGCCCCAAACCTATTTAATAAATCCTTTATGTTTATAAATCCCATTGACAAGAAAAGAAAATCCTTATAAACAGAAAGAAGACTTACTTGTGAACTCCAGAGTACACATTGCGTTTTTTTTCTTTTCGTAAATCCTCAGCTTCCTGTTGTAGCTGCTGGAACAATTGCTGCCCTGAGACTTCTTTGGCCCGAGATAATGGTTTAATTGAAAAGGTTGCTGGAGGAAGAGCAGTGTAGGTCAAATCTCCAGACGGAAGCAAATCAAGATCATGTGTAGCAATTGTTGCAGCATTTCTTTTATCGCATACAGTTTCATGGAGCTTTGTCTACATAAATAAAATTACAAAAGGTAGTATTACTGCTAAGAAGAAGTAAAACTATACATAAATAGGGTAAAATCTGCAGAAAGAAGCCTTCCAAAATGTAAGTGCAGAAATCACCAATATCTATACCCCAAATTAGATTTTGATATGAATGGTTAAAGTAGGGTACACAGTACCCTACTATCTTTGCACTTAGTATAAGCAAAACAAAAATATAGTTATTGACTGCATAACAATTAACCACATTTTATATAATATATCCATGTTTCTATGAAGTACATTCAAATGGTTCATTGTTACATAAGCTTACCATTAAATAAAAATCTTCTAGTGAACATAAGGAAGTCAGACATGTTCACTGTTTGCTAATTGACATGTCAAATGGAAAATACAATTTGACATACATGAATTTGCCCGTAATTGGTATGCAACTCAGCATGCATTGGTATTTTGCAGACACATGAAATCTTTGACTATGTCAGAGCATGTACCTATCGAACACCACAGTTGTTCCAAGATGCCTTCCGATCAGTGGCAAATGTCACACGTGAAAGCTCATTTTATGGAATTTCCCCACCACACTATTATTAGCAAAAAGTTATATTAATCCCTCCTACATTTCCTATAAATTTGTAACATTTATTCTCTAGTAGCGCAGAAGAAGTTTTCATTACTTTTATGTGATCTTCTCAAATACGTAATACTGTATTATTTTTTTTTTTATTTTTTTGCAATTTTGGTAGTAAAATTCCATTTCTTAACTCCTTTTCTCTAAAAACTTATTCTTGAATAGGTAAAAAGACTATGTGTAGTATTAAATTAAACCACAGTATATTCTAAAATAACAATTTGGTTATGGCCAATTAATTTCCCAAATCTCAATTTCATAGATCATTACCAGTTGATTTTACCTGAAGCTGTATAAACTTCTTTAAATTTTCTGCAGTCAAATGAACATCCCTTACAATACAACATGCAATATGAGGTCGAACAGTTTTGACTGCTTCTGTTATTTTGACTGCAGGTGTAGTGTCCTTCACGTGAAGCACTTCAAGCCTGTTGCAAAGTTTGGCCACATCCTGCAAATTAGATAATTGTTCAAAGAAACAATAAGACAACATTTGAAAATCTGTCATTCAATTTACTATTACAGAAAAACTAACTTAAAGCGCAGGATATAACCTTCAAACATAAATGTTTACAAGTACATGTCTTCACTGCTATCTCCTCTTATATTCACACAGCTCTTAAATGACTACTAAAAAAAATTTACCATTTTAGAAACTGTGTTTATACTGACAACTGTGTTTAAAATCTGTCTAAAAATGTGCATATAAGATATACATAATGAGCTTCAAAATGTAAATATTCATTGTTCATTAGTCACATGAATAAATAAGAGTTAAAATGTAACTTAACCATTACTCTAACATATCCTTTTGCATCAACTCTGAAATGTTTAGTCAGATGTGCAGGTAAACTATAAAGATCTCCTTTCCTTGAGTCTTCATATTCACAAATGTAATGGGCTATTTTGCTGCTTCATTTTGTCTGACTATTTTAACTATTTGACAATCTGCTTTCAACACAAATCAAGCACATAAATACTGCCACATAAATACCTAATGTGACATCTCCAGAAGTATTTTTGCATTAAAAGGTTGTATTTGTACTTGGGAAGGGGTATAACCTTAAGTTAGGCAATTAACACAGACAGATGAACGGATGCAGGTAACCAGATTACAATATAAGGATTTTAATCATCTTCAAAATGAGTAGGACACTTGCTACACGATGTCAAACTTAGTTGTTTGCTGGGATACTGTACTAACATTACTAGGGGGCTGATTTTTATAACCTAAAACATTGCCAAAAATTATCAGTAAAATGCTCTTTAATTTTTTTAAAAATGTCATAAATTTGTAATATCATAAGTCACTGTGTTATAATTGTAAATTATTTTTCTTATGAATTTTATTTTTGTTATAAATAATTCTTGTATTCTACCATTGTGATACATTTGTAAATTGGATATATTAATGTCTGTACAGCAAATAAATAAATAATAAAAACAAAAATAATGTAAAACATTAAACTTTAGATGAACAATTCAAGGTGTTGGTTATGTTATTGATGTAATCGAAGCTTCCTCCTTTTGTTCAAGTGAACTCGACTTGCAAACTTTGAGTTTGAACAGTCCTTTAAAAGAAAATTTGTCTTTATTTATCAGTAAATCGTCCAAACTGACAAATGGTGCTGACAAGTGTCACTGGAACCTTACATTACATAGTACTAACAACGGCTGATGTTACAGTATATGAGCAAAGAAATCAAAAGGGCTACTCAGGAATTCTGTGGTGGACATTTGTTGCATCTCATAAATATTGTCTGAAGCATGTACCATTAAAATGATACTGAAAATCAAAGAAATCGGGGGGGGGGAATCATTAAAAGGACTGTAAAAAGGTAAAAAATTACTTCTTTAGCAAAATTGGCGAAAAACTCAAAAAAGACATAAAAGTGAGTCAATTCATTTTGTCATAACATAAAATGAAGTTGTATACTACACAGCATCGTTCTAAAGTGAAAAGAAAAAGAAAGATATTTCATTAAAATCCACCCCTAAACATTACAATACTAAGGGACTTGACTCTAGTATTGCATTATTTATTAGTGCAGCTAGTGATGCAATATTTAGAAAAAATTAAATATTATAATTTACACAGAATCCAGGAAAAGAAATGCTGCTTTTCCTTTTATCTAGGGTATTATTTACTAACCTCATTTACAGAATTAGTAGCATCTGCTGGATCTTTCCTGCCCTTTTTGCCCTTCTTTCCTTTGGAACCACTTCCATCCACAGTTCCAGATGATCGGGGACAGTGTTGACGAACATAATCCAATACTTGCTTTGATGTGTTTTTATCAACCAATTTGAATAATCTGCGATCACTCAGAGAATTCCCTTTTAAGTTGAGTTCTAAAAATATCCATAGAAATTTCACAGGATTTCAATGGTAGAATTTAAAGGCTTTCATAAATATAATAATAAATAATTTAATTTAAGTCTTCAATACTTTCAACCACGAATATCAATACTATGAATTTTGTTACCTTTTAACTTAGGTGCATCAGCAAGTTCTCCAGGTACAACTGTAATGCAATTATCAGCAATATCAAGCAATTTTAAGGAACTCAGGTTACATATTGCTGAAGGTATTTCCTTTATTTTGTTGCCATTCAGTTTTACTTCTGATAAATGAACCAATTCTTGATGGCAAATATCCGGAAAATTTTCAAATTGATTATGGGACAAGTCTAAAATACTTAATTTTGTGTTTCCTATTAAACTAGGGATGTCTTTTAAGGCATTGGCAGTCAAATTCAAGGAAGTTAACTGACCCAACTGTGAAATTTCCCTTGGCACATATTCCAGTCTATTACTCGATACATCAAGAAGTTTAAGTTTTGTTAACTTCCCAATAGTACTGGGTAAGGACGTAATTTTATTAGAATGAAGAAGCAAACTTGTAAGATTTTCTAATTTTCCTATATCATCAGGTACAACTTCCAAACACGTATCACTACACTGCAAAAAATTCAGACCTTTCAATGAAAAGAGCGCCCGATGAATGCCGCCTTGTTCAATTTTCTTTGAAATATCTGGCCCTGAAAGTTTTAGTTCATACCTATTTTCACTTTTCGCTGTCTCTATTTCACGCCAAATCTCTGACATTGTAATCGTTCTCTCTTCTAAGATTGAATAATATAACTCAGTCTAATAGTAGTTGGTTTCACTATTTGATCCAATGCCTAAGGCCGATGAAAATTTTCACTAATTTCAGATACGCAAATTGTCAAAATGAATAATTGATCGCAATGTCTCCACGAATTAAAGAGCGTCCGCTGTAACTGCAAATGCGAAAACTGAAGGCCGTCCTTGGTTTTCCACAAATCTGGATAGATATTTATTCGAACACAAACGTATCTTCTAGCTCTTGCAATTGCCGGTCATTGCACAATCATTGCAATCAGTTCTCATCAGTACCTACACGTTGATGCCAGATCATTGCGTCCTGCGATCTCTGCTCGTAACTCTGGAGATACACTCTCACACTCTTTAGTGGACAACCACCTGCAAAAAACTTTTTATTGAAACGATTCTGGAAAACCTACATCAACCCACACTCCCATACACTCACTGCAGTAAAAAGGGAGACACTTCCACTCAGTTAAGAGTACTGGTAAATAAGCTCTGAATATACACGAGCCGGCACCCATGTATATCTGCCTGTAAATCAATGTAAATACTCTAGATAGCACCTAATGCTAACCGGCGAAAGTTTACAGCTTCCGGTAGCCGCCATGATTTGGATGAAATCTACAGCCCGACGAATTGCAGCGGGGAAATTTGAAATTACCATAAATTTCCGCGGGGATTCGAACATTTGATTTTTTTTTATATTAGACTTGAAGTTGATATAAAAGAACAGCCCGGCGAAGATGAAGAGTGATATTGAAGGGAATATATTAATATTAAAACAGGAGTCAAACTAGGCGAACCTGTCACCCACAATTTTCTTGTTTGATGGAGTTGTCAGAAAAAAAATGAATAGAAAATTAGTTTGATGGAAAAAATCTCAGAAAATTAATCTGGGAAGACACTAACATTTTAGTGAATGGAAGACGATTAAACAATCTAATAATAATAATAATAATAATAATAATAATAATAATAATAATAATAATAATAAATATTGGCAAACACCCACCATACACTACAGCGAATGTTAGAAGAGCTAAACAATGAGTCAAAAGGGAGGACTTCGATCAGAAATATTCCATAACGTAATTTTTTTCTGGAAACTATACGCCACATACGACAGGAAACTTGGAAACGCCTCAAAATGGAATCTTTAGTGTACTACTAGTAGTAGTTATTCTGCAGATCATGTACTAACAAAATTTGTTTGTATTAAATTATTTGTATAATTAATTGTTTGTATATGTACAAAAGTAAATATTGTAATCTTCCTTTGTGTTGTGTATTTGTAGTAACTACTTAGAAAATGCTACCACTGTAAATATTCCAGATATTACTAAGAAGCAAAATGAATATTCTATCCTATTTTGGTACAAAATATAAAATGAAAACAGTTCGAAGAGCTTAATGCACTTTCAAGTTAGAAACTTTTCCTGGAAACTTTTCGTTTGTGGGTGGATAGTGACACTCAGAGGCGGGATTTAGGAGAGGGCTGGGGGAGGGGCGCCACTTACCCCTTCCCCCAATATTGGGACAAATTAAAATATATATATTTAGACATTTCATTTAGAGAATCGTCAAATTTATATTATAAAATATTTACATTTTTCTGTTTTTGAGAAAAAATTTAATCTCCTTACAGTATTTGAGTAACTGTGAGTGTTCGTGAGTTCGTATGTGTGTGTATCTGTCACTCATGGTTAGACCACTTCCCGTGCACCAATTGAAACGTATGAAGTGTCATCCGACCCGTCTCTGTCTCCTGGTGGGGAATTAGGGTCCGGTCAGAAGATTCTCAGAAATTTCCAAAAACGTGTTTTTACGTGTTTGACATTTTAGTGAGTATTCCGGTAAGAAAACCAACCAAAAAGGTATACCTAGGTTACGTTGGATGCGACAAGTGAATCGCCGCACGGCAGATTTCATTTAATTTGCATCTATATTTACGTATTTTAAAAAATATATTTGTAAAAACTTAAACAGTGTTGCCTTGGAACGTATTGCACTTGAAGAACTTCAGGTATATATGGAGAAAACCAAACTCTGAGAAATGCTACAGAAGCACATTTACGCCCTTACGTTCGACTTCTCACATTTACATTCTTAAGCGTGTGAATTCAATTTTCAAATGAATGTAAAAACTTATTCTTATTGAAACATAAATAACACTCTATTCACATAAACATACAAAACAGTCACCTATTAATGTCTATATAGATTCGCCTACAAAACGGTAAGTAGAGCAAGCGCAGAAGTAGAAGTGAACACAATTAGACTGACTTTGTGGAGTTTTAATCTCTTCAACAATTAGGAGCCAAAAATATGGAAGGGTCAAACAAATCCGGGGTAGAATAAAATGTAGTTGTAGATTTTGCGACAGAATTTTCGGAACCAATTGAAAATGATCTTATTAGAGAATAACGCTGAAGAGCAGCTTACAGACGATTTTTTATGTGCATTTTTGTGCATGTTAGAAAAAACTAAAAAAATTTTGCTGAACTAAATTCTAACCATTCAGAATCATCAGCCTTAGCCTATCGAAAAGTGAAGCCTATTTCAGCGCCGCGGCGACCATGATGCTCAGGTCTAAACCTAATTTCCAATATGGCGTTAACTGTGATCTGAGCAGTTTGTCATTACAAATGTAGTCTGTGATACATGTAAATATTATAAAAAAAGGAAAAATATATGCAAATAGTTTTTTTTTTAAATGGTTGCGAAGTGCGCCTCCTGCGGTAATACCTATAATAAAAACAGCAACTTGGCATTTCACAAGTATGTTAATACTTCCAATTAATTTCACTATTATATTTTTCTTAGTTGAATAATATTTATTATACTATTGTTCTGAATAATTTTGAAATTGCTTAATGTCCAATAATAGATTGTAATGTAGACTAAGAATATAATATTAGGTTATGCATATAGTTTTATCAAAACTGTTTTGTAAACTCTGTATTATTTCAATAATTTTAAAATCGTTGGTGTTACAAATATAACCTTTATTTTTGTAACCTATAATTTATATATTTATATAAATAATTTTTATTTATTTTAATAATACATTTCATTTTATTTGTGATTGTTGTACATGCTCAAATTCTACTCAAAATTATATTAGAGTGTGTTTTTATCTGTCAATGAACAATAAACAATAAATGAAATTTGTTATGCTTGTGTCAAAGCAATTTCGATAAAGTTGCTACGAAGCTCAATATTTTAATAATATTTAAATATACTATTTTTATTTTTATTTTCACCCAAACTTTATTCTCACAATTATTTAGATTTCTAAATATTACTTTTAATATGTATATATAATATTGAAGGGGAGGAAATATTACACAAATTAAATAAATATTATTTCTGAAAAAATAAAATTGTTGTGTCATTTCCAACAAGCAAAATGTATCACTACATGCTTTCAGAAAAATGACGATATTAAAAAAAATAATTGTATTAATTTTAAATTTTGATATACAAAATCAACATTCCCTTTTCAAAACATTTATTTATTTGTTTATTTATTCATTCGTTCGTTCGTTAGTTTGATCGTTCGTTTGTTCGTTCGTTCGTTCATTAATTCATTCATTAAAAAGCGCAAACAACATTTGTGTCATATTTATCGATACGTCGACATGCATTTTAAAATTCAGTGGTCGCCATATTGGAAATTAGGTTTAGACCTCAGCATCATAGCCGCCGCGGCGCTGAAAAGGCTTCACTTTTCGATAGGTTAAGATCTATCCAGAAGTATATATAGAGATCAATGGGACAGCCGCTCTATCTAGGATATTATAGCTCGTTGAAGATGACAATCGCAAAGATGTTACAACTACACTTGATTGCTAACTCGTCCAGTTAAAGGATTGGGTCAGGTGAAGCAGGTCGCCGTATTAGAAACGGGTAAGAAGCTGGCGGGAATTTGAATTCGAGTAGTACCAAGCTCACACCCTGAGGAAATGAATACTCAGAATTACACACAAAACGGTTTTAAATAAACGTGTTGAAAATTTATGTCATTCATAGCTGTGTTCACATTAGCTCTTACAGCTTCTAGCACTGAACATACCGATGAATCGTAGTAGCTAATAATGTTTTACTCCTGTTGAAAAATTGTTCAACTCTCAATGGCCTGGTATGTTACCTCCATGGGGGATATGAACTGATAATATTGCAATTTCAAAATTATAAACGCCTTAAAAATACTTGCAGGTACGAATGATTCTGAATGGTTAGATCAGTGGGCTGTCCATATGGTTTCAGCGCTCTAAATGAAGGCTCGCCGAACTGGTGGCCGCCATGCATATTTTTTAGTCAAAATATACGAGGGGCTGTGTAACCGTCCGTACCAGCGCCAAACGTAATACTGTACTAGGATTTATTTAGTCGTGCACGTAACGTAAATCATTAGTTGCGATTTCATCCGAGCGGAAGCTTATACATCGCTACAGTGGCGTCACTATGGGGACGTTAAGCTCCCGATTGGATGAAATCGTGTACAGCTGATTTACGTGCAAGACAAAATAAATCCTAGTACAGAATATTTTGTTTCCCAGATGGCGCTGCTTTGACTGAAAAAATACATGGCTTCAATTTGCTTCAAAGATGGAGGGGCTTCAGACACTCTATGTAATATATTCTAGCTCGTTAGTCATCTTATAGAGTTTATTTTGCACTAACCGTCCTAAACGTTTAAAGAAAACGATTGGGAGTCGTTTTCAAGAAAATCTTTTTTCTCTCTTTCCCTTTCTTTATTTTCTTTCTTTCTTTAGTCGCATCAACGATTAAGGTTATTAGTGACCACATTGTTTTGTAGCAGGTGTTTACAGACAATTGTAATTTTACCCGTCATTACGTTAACGTCAGTATCACAATGCATATGTGATAACATAACACAGCATCACATATTATCTTACAGTATCATCATCATACATTATCTTCATAACATACCATTTCGAGAGTTACATACCATTACTTTAACATTATCATAATGACATACAGATCATAACATAGTATTATGTGAAACACACAAAAACACACCTCCTCACTGCTTAGTGGCTGCACACGGATGGCTCGATGACACTCAACATACAATGCGTCACAATCCAGTGCCTCGCATCTGATACCCTCGCAAGATCTTGACCAATGTGGCTCTGGCTGTGGAGTAACGATTGTCAACGCGAGGCTGGTTGATGCGTGAATACAAGTTATACCAGTGCACCCTCCTCCGCTCAGAGAGCTGGGAGAGAGGGAATTCCTCTACGCCCTGAGAGCGGCCCCAAGTGACCGCCAAGTGACCCCAAGGTTGAATTCTACGCTGACAACTGAAGCTCTTCGCCTGCCACGACTGAAACTCATCACTGGGACGAAGAAATTAAAACATATTTGCAGAAGCATTCATCCCATGAAGACGATCTCGCGTTCCTTGCCAAATGCTTTAAATTCGCAGAAATTTCGTTTTTAAAGATTTTTTTTCCTGCAGGTCATGGAAAACCGTTCCGTTTCCGCGTTGGAGAGGTGCCGTTCTATAATGAGTAAAATGCCATTAAAAATATAAATAATGAAAAATGGACAACATGAATTATTTATTTGCCAGCCCACACTATTTATTCCTTATAACACTCTCTGCAATAGTTTCATAGAAATTTTTTGCAAGCAAGTTCTTAGTAGATTATTAATATCATTTATTTATTACATCAAAAATATGTCTAACAATTTTACATTGATGCATTTCCATTATCATCCTGTAAATTATTTGGCACTAGTTCTATTCTCCAAGCAGTGTTATATGTGCAACTTTTTTTATTAATGTTCTAGTTTTTAAATTGTAAACTTTTTTTTTGATGCTCTGTAAATTATTATTGTCTTGTAATGTTCTTTATGTTCTAGTTTTAGTTTAGTTCAATGATTTTACTTTATGTTCAAATTGTTTTCAAATTGTAAATCATTTCGGCAATGCTTTGTGATTTATTGTTTGCCCATTTCTGCATTATTTACTTCAAAGTACATTTAATTTAAAACTTTCAGTTTTATGTGTTACAAGATTTTGTTCAGGTTCACATACAGGCTATGCCTTTGTGAAAATAATTTCAGAGATATAATATGTCTCCATGTTGTCATATGCCCTCTCATTTATTTTGTCATCTCCATCTGTAGAAATACATTTTTACATAATCAATTTTTCAATCAAAAAATAATCAATTTTTTAAAAATTCATACAGAACAAAATGTTATCTAAATGACAACCAATTGCAGTTGCCCTTGTTAACATTTGATGTGAAAAATGTAACAGCAAGAAGTAGAAAAAATAACTGAACGTTTTTCTCCAAGAATCAAAAAATTGCTTGCTTGTGAAAAATAATTCAAGATCTTCGTTTCAAGCAAGCAATGTACATTCTTAAAAAAGTATGAGACCGCTTATTTATATCAAAATTAAATCATTTGGGAAATGTTTCCAATTTGTTTTGCACTAGTATTTGTAATCAAATTCTCACAGAATAATTTTCTTTTGAATTGAATGATTTACATACACTTGAACATATGCTTTTATCTACAGTTCAGATGATTAGATTCTTCGGAAAATAAACGCACAACAAAATGATAACAAGTAATACATTTGTGGAAAATATATTTATATTTAGCATGTACAGTCACTCCCAAAATTATCCGGACACCCGGGATATTCCTTTCACCTGCATTACAATCCAGTTTTCTTCTCTATTGGAAAGCTTCTTTCTTCTTCCCCCTCGAGGGTGAAGCTCAATTCTGTTTTCCTTATTTAACCATCATATAATGTCGTTTACTTTTCCACATCAATAACATTTGAGCAATTTCTCTGCAGCTCGTACCTTTCATGATGAAAGGTAATTTGACCTGACGTTCGAATGAACTGTTTCTCCCTCTGCGACTCATGTTACTCCTTCGCAGCGGCTGCCATGATTCGAACTCTTCGGTGACGAAAGAAAGCTGCCGCCTGTTCATAGATGACCTTTAGCGTTCGACGTCCGTTGATTTCAACGGTTTCTTTCTATATTTAAAGGACTAATATTTCAGTTCAGTTGCGCAATAATTAGAGGCCCACTGATTAAAGGTCATTTTACTTCGCAGAGCTACATTTTTAATAAATTTTCATTATTTTCGTAGCTAACTCTGATTTACCCACATTATGCTGAATTAAAATATAATATTGATTTGTGTAGAAAGTTTTGACGAAAGTTCTTGAAATTAGCAGGTGTCCGAATAGTTTTGGGAGTGACTGTACATAAGAAATGTATCCGTTCTGCCCGATGAATGAAGTCTGTTTTCAATGCAAGGATTTGAGACCGTGATAGCTGTTCGCGTCTGGACTGTTGATGTTGGCTTTGAAGTCGGAGCCGAGGTCCTTGTGGGCTGCCTCCAGCGCCGCGTTGACCAGCGCCGCCGTCTGGCGCTTGCTGGGCAGCGTGTAGTGGTCGGCGCCCTCCACGTAGTGCACACTCACTGGTCGCTCACAGAGCTACGCAACAAACAAACAGAAGGTATGTCACCAACGGGCAAATTTTTTTCAGGTACGTAGTTTAGAAGAGCATTTTAGGTCAGCATTACATTCGTTAATTACGTAGACAAAATTTATGGAAATGTAGACATTATTATAAATTTATTCCAGATCGATAATTGCTTTCTTCAAAGTTAATTTTATTCTATAAAAATAATACTCCAGGAATAAAACGAAAAAAAAGTTAAAGTTAAGATAACCGTTTTTTCATACATATCATTCTTATACACGTTTTATTTAATATTTTATCTATTATTACTTCAATTTTTTTTCTTAAAATTTTCCTCTCGATTAGAGGGGACGCTTAAAAAGTGACATACGTCTCGTTTTCGTTGAACTTTCGAAAGTTACACATACTGAAAGGAAGTATACGCTGTTGTAGCACCCTTAGTTTAAATACGCCGTGAACATTATAGTAATTAACGAAACGATTTTATAAAGAGGAGTATAATTGCATGAATTCAATAAAACGATAGGAGTGAGTTTTCTTATTTATCATGAATTATACCCGTTTGTCCACGTGTTACGTTCAATACTTTTTCGTTTTCATTAAGGAAAAATTTTAATTTTGAGAAATTCAATCATATCTTTACCATTAGAAGTAGTATCTGATGAGGTCATATTGGTTCTGAACAAGACCTATTTTAGTAAGCCTGGCAGAATATATGATCTCCTTAGTGTCTTACAGAATAATTGTGTTTGATAATTACGTTTGAAAATGGAAGCTATTTAACGTATTCCAATTGAAGAAACTGACAAAGCCATGAAAGCATTTCTTCGTACGAAAAGTAGGGACATGTATGAGAGGACTACACGTGTTAATAATGGAAAGGAGAAAAACGATTCAGTTCTAACTCAGACGTTTTGCTGGTGTACTAGCGGATAAATACCACTGAAAATTACATTTTTTATCTTTGTCATATGCTAAGACCAAATGTTTTACACGTAACACACTTATTCATGTTAAATATTTTATGTTGTTCCATTAGTTAGCTAGTGTGAAACCAACATGCTTATGGTCATACTTGTTTATGTTGAAGACGTGGCGTAAAAAGGAGAATATTGATATTTTAAATATACACAATTTACTTGATTTTCCAAACAAATTAAGGAGTTTTGCCAAAACAACTGCTCTCACTGGGCCGTCACGTTAAAATAAGTGAAGCAAGTGCAATATAAAGCGACTTCTGGGTTAGGATGATCGATACCAAGTATCAGTGGGGTAATAGTTTCTAATTTAACGTATTGTACTACGAATATTAACATGACTGTCTAAGAAGTGGTAATAATTATTTGTTTATAATTTTGTTTCATTCGCTCATTGATTATGTTTTTGATGTATGTAATATGTGATGTTCATTTTTGTTGTGTTTCATGGACGTCTGGAAACGTCTGCATACGCATAATTAAACGATTTGGATCAGTTCTCTGAGTTCTGATTGACTATTGTGGACTTTTAATTGCACGATAGGGTTTCAATTGCACTCATACCATAACATGGTGATAATCAACGATTGTTCATGGAATTAATGAGCATATTTAGTAAATTAAACGAAAAAAGTATTAATAACACTGTTCTGTGATAAGGCTACCTGCCATCACATAACATAATGGTTTCACAATCAGAATGACAGATGAAGTGATTTTTATCGCGAGATTCCGAAAACATTACAATAGATTTAATACTACTAATAACAGACTACGAAGAAACTTTAGTAATTGCATTCTAAAATACTTTTTTCTAATTAACTATTTTATGGAAAGAAACTAAACTGAAAAAATAAAATAATTTTGACGAAGAAGGACCGGGAGAGGTGGCTCAGGACATCAATTGATCTCACTGCAGGGCCTCTGACCGGGGGTTCAAGGGTTTGAGTTCCGACTGTGATAGGATTATCGACAGTAGCTAGATAGCTAGGTCGAATTCAGTCGTTGTCTGGCGAATTCTAGCCACCGTCTGCTCTGATCGGTAGTTTTCCGTTGTTTCTCCGATCAATACCTGGCGAATGCCGGGGCAGTACCCCACACACGGTCCACTGGGCGCGATCTTTCCTTCCTCTTTATTGTTTTATCCGTACTCCTTATCGACATACACTTACACTTACATGCACTACACTACCGCAATGGTGGGAGACCGGTCGGGAGTTTAGAGCTTGTTCCGGCTAGGACAATGATCCGCTGGTGGGAAATACTGGTTGGGGAAAACCCCGCTAGCCGACGGGAAGGTCGGCTCCGGATCTCACCATCCAGGGAGGGGATCACAGCCATCTCCCGAGGGAAAATGTGCATTATACATACGGGACTAATAATCTTAGCAGTTGACGCGCTCGAAATTACTAATCAATCAGTGGACGAAGAATCTGATGGTTCATTACTTCCGGATGGATATTACTAGTATTTGTAATATTCGCGCAACACTTTTCTTGGTCGAAAGATTGGAGAAATGCGGGTAGAGTGGGGATGTCAGTTGGCCACTTGATTTTATGAAGCAATGCCAATTTCTCGAGTATCAGTCATACCGTAGCAACTTTTTCTATAATTTGCCTTCTAACTTTCTCGGGAGTTCAAGGTATTTCCTGTAATATATATGGACTTTCTTCGGCCATTCTTTAGATATTTTCGAGAAAAACACGAACAGGAGTTCTCGTTTTCTACAGCAAATAGTTATTACGCGCCAATGATGTGTTTGGAATGTTGTCAACAGTGCTCGCTGCGAGCGAGTATTCACCTGTCTATTGTGCCAGGGAGGGGGAAGGTAGGCCAACGGTCGAGAAAAGTTGTGTGCTGGTTGTGTGGAGGACTACAAATTATGTTTTGTGTGCAGAAGATTGTATTAGTAGTAATGATATCCCGCTGTATTGTGAGTGATCTTTGGTATTCCATCACGGTATATTAACTACATTAATTGTTACGAAGAATCCTGCATAATCAAAAATACGATTATAAAACCTGTTAATAGACGAGATTTAACTTCTCAGAGCAACCCAACGGGTGAGTAAAATATTTGGTTTTTGTATTTCCTTTCCAGAAGAAATATCTTATAGGTACTATGAAAGTAAATTCAAGAGCACGAATTTAAATTGAAATGCTTGTATTTGGTTTTGCACTGTTTTGCAGATTGGAACTAGTTTAATTTGAAACGTTTAACGAATTAGTTTTGCATAGTTTCTAACCGCTCAGCCGTGACATTGTGTACCAGTATAGCATTAGCAGTGTATTATCAATCGTAATGCATGATTATATTAAATGGAACAAAATATGTAGAGGGAAATGTTGAATCGCCACCTGTTCTTTAATATAAAATGGGCACTGAATTGCCATTTGTTTACTTGCACTTAATTAGTAGTTGCATCATGAAATCCTACATTAATACTCGGTAAGCACACAAAAGCGACAAGTGTTGTTTTGTAACGTAAATTTTGAAGTACATTTCAAATTAATACTTCAGTTTTATCATACATTCTCATTTCTTCTGTCATTTTCAAAAGTACATTCCTCTCATATCTAGTGTCGGGAAATCCGACAAACTCAATTCGCCAAACTACACGTTGAAGGGAAAGAACAAGAGATGTGGACATAGAATATACGTATTAATTATTATTATTATTATTATTATTATTATTATTATTATTATTATATTTGAAAGCTTGGCATCTAAGGCCTTCAGCCTTTTTACTGATTGACGTTAAACATTAATCATATATTAAATTTAAATTTTGTAGAAAATATTGGCCTCTTTCAGGAACTTTATTGTTTTGTCAGTTGCCGTCTTGTTGGTGCCGAGATCTATCTTCATGTTGCCTCTCATGCCGCATCTGTGTCTAAGTGTTGAGAGATCTACGCCGTCTGTCAGAATAAGTTTCATTGTCAGAAGTCTTCCGCAGCTGCAGATGGGTTCTTCATTTCTTAGCGTGTGTGAAGAAGTTATTCTTGCATGACCTATTCTTAGTCTGGTTATGCACACTTCTCGTGGAGGGTAGCTGACATTTGGTGACCATTTACTGATATTCTGTTTAATGGGATTTAGTTTCGTGTGAAAACTGTTTCACGTGGTCTGCCATTCTGTGAGGGTGCACTTCGAGGCAGCATTTCTTGCATCTTGAGGTCATATTTCAATATCCAATTCTGATTGGATGTTCACGGCATTTCTTGTTGCAGAATAGGTTTCTTCATTGCCTGGGATCATGTGTCCAGGGCACCATATAAATGTAAAGGATGCTCCTCGCTGCTCTAATTATTGCAGGATATGAGAATCATTTGTAGCAGTGGGTCTACAGTTTGGCGTCTGTCTATTGCAGTGAGAAGACTTAGCGAGTCTGTGCAGATGACGAATTTTCTTCAATTGATAGTTTCACAGTGACGCAAAGATTGCAATACTGCATACAATTCGGCAGTGTACACACTTGCTTCTGGTGGAAGTGTCCAAGTTTTCGATTAGTCTTCAGTTACAAATGCGCTTCCAACCCGATGTTTTCTTTTGGTACCATCTGTGTAGATTATTGTGTGATTTGCCATGTATTCTTCGAGAACTGATCGAAAGCTGACTTTTAAATTCATGGGAAGGCATTATTTTTTCTTTACACTGGTAGTGTAGAGTCTTACTTCTGGCATTTTCAACATCCAAACTGGAATTTCATATGGTTCGTGTTTCAAAACTGGTGGTAGGACGATATTATAGCATTTGGCTATCTCGATTGCGCGGATATTGGCTGGGCGAGTAGCTGAAGGTTTTTGATCGTAAATATTTGCTAGCTTAGGTCGAGTCATCAATGAATGGTTTGAATGTTTCGGTAGTGGCAGCAATTTTGATCTATAGTTGAGTAGCATTGTTTGTCGTCTGTGATGTAGCGACATGGTGCTTGTTTCACAGTAGATGCTTGAGGAAGGACTAGTGCGGAACGCGCCAGATGCATATCGGAGGACTGCATTGTGAACGGGATTTAGTTTCCTTAAACTTGATTTTCTGGCTGAGGAGTACACTGCACATCCACAGTCTATTTTGGACATCACCATGGATTTGTACAGGCGGAGTAAGATGTCTCTATCTGCTCCCCAATTTATATTGGAAATGTATCTTATTACGTTCAGAGCTGTTTTGCATCTACGCGAGGTATATTCTAGATGCTGTTTCCATGTTAAGAATAAAACCAAGGAATTTTGCCGTTCCATTGTATGTCAGTTGAACACCATTCAGCGCCAGCTCTGGATCTCTGTAACTTTTTCGTTTCCTACAGAAGTGAACGCATTTGATTTTGGCTGCTGTAAATGTGAAACCAATTTTTTCGCGTTCTGTACTAATTTATTGATGTAATTTTGCATTTTGAATTTGATAATTCCCGGTGTTGGGCTGAGTAAATTATGCCAAAGTCATCTACATACATGCATTTTCCAATTGACGCTTCTATGCCGTCAAACATCTCGTTGATAGCTATAATAAAGAGCGTACCTCTCAATGGAGAGCCTTGCGGTACACCATTCTCTAGTACGTAGCTTTCTGACATGCCCAACGCAAATTTGGAAAGATCTGTAATAAAGAAGCTGGTTATGAATTTTGGTAATTTCCTCTTATTTGCCAGTTATATAGCTGTCTCAGAATATTATATCGTCAGGTCTTATCAAAAACGTTTTCAACGGTCAAAGAATACGGTAAACATATGTTTTCATTTGACGCAGATATTCTGAATTGCGTTTTCCAGATATATTAGCTGGTCGATTGTAGAGTGATGTTGTCTGTATCCGCACTGATGTATGTTCAGGAGGTTGTTTCTTTCGAGACACCATGTTAGCTGAGTGTTGACCATTTTTTCCAAGATAGTTCTAGACAGCATGTCAGGAATACCGAGGGATAATTTTCAGGTTTCAATGGATCATTGCCTGCCTTTAAAAGTGGAATTATTATCGCTTCTTTCCAGACTTTGGGGTAATTACTTTGTGTCCAAATGTCATTGTATGTTTTAGCAAAGTGGACAGTATTTCCTTCGGTAACCGACGTAGTATGCTGTAAGGGATATTGTCTGATTCTGCTGCGGTGTCTCCAGCTGCATTTATGGCGTCTTGCAATTCTCTCCAGTGAAAAGAACGTTATATGGCTTATCTGTATCGGTTGCGAAGTCGAGTACTTATTACTCTTCTTCTTCTTTCTTTTTTCTTGAGAAAGTCTTTAGGATAGCTGTTTATGCTACTGGCTCTGGAATATATTGGGTCGCTAATGTGTTGGCTATTTCGTCAGGGTTGCAGATAAGTTGTCCTTCGTGTTCTATGCATGTGATTGGACTGAAAACATTTTCCCTAGCTATTTTTTTTGCCATATTTTCGTGACTTTGGTCATCCAAGTTATGGTTGTTACGTATTTTTACCAGCTTGATCGTTTTGCTGTTAGTATTTTTCTGCGAGTGCACGCAGACGCTTGAAAGCAATAAGATTGTTTTGGGTTGGTGCATGACTATATCTATTGAGGGCTTTTCTTTTCTCCCTTATTGCTTCTTTGGTTTCCATGTTCCACCATGGCACTGGAATCCTAGATGAGCGGCCACTAGTCTGTGGAATGTAGTTGATCGAGCAGGTCTTGTAAATCTTCATTTCGCCATGAGACCTCTGGTAAGTATATGCAACACACTGTCATCTTCAATGACTTGTATAACGTTGCAGCTACTGCTTGTAGAGGTGTGTTGAGATCGATACGACTAGCAGGATGTGCATTGCTGATCAATATGGAAACACCATCTCTAGCTCGTTTACCAGGTTGTATGTCACTGCGAAAGATTTTATATCCTCTAAAATTAAAACGGTCTTCTGGTTTAAAATGGGTTTCTTGTAAGCACACACACACATTAGTGAGTGATTGGCCAGTAGCAATTTCAGCTCACAGTAATGCGAGATACAGCCGTTAATTTTCCATTGAATAATATTTTCCATGGTTGGAATGGGATTATTCTGCTATAGGACGCGTAGATTCTGCTTATTTTCTTGGTTTTCCTTTTGGCCATCCTTTCTTCTTTTCCTTCTTTTGCGGAGTTTTGATTAGATGGATGGACTGGTAATCAGTATTTTCCGCACTTAACATCGAACTTGTCTCAGAGCCAGTGGTTGTGTCTTGATCACTGGTAATTGATGATTTCATTTTTTGATTGAGGAAGTTGTCCTTGGTGTGCATAGGAGAACGAGGTGATCGACTTCGATAGCCTGTTGCCGATATTTCTTTGCTGGGTGAGGCTGCAGGCACAGATTCTGGATTTCTTTCTGCCTCATTTGGTGGGGTCTTGAAGATTGTTTTTCATTTACTATTTCACTTTGAGTGTTTGTGGTTAAGTATTCTGTGTTGATTTTGTTGTTGTGAATTTCATTAAAATACTTTTCTAGTCACCGAGTTATTGCAGGCATTACTTCTTTCACTACTAAACATGGCAAATCTATGCTTTTAGTAACAGCTTCTACGTATGTAATATTTCCTTTATTTTAGTTTTTTTACTTCAGTAGTTTAGTACTTCATTTAGTTTTTTTGCTTCAGTATAGTTTATCTTCTGTCTGGCTTTTACTTGTATTGCTGCCTCCTGCTTAACTCAACTCAAAAGTTTCATGTGAAAACTAGCTCAAAATGACTTAATGTCGTTCCTTTGCCATTCGCCCAGAACGCAAGAGGCGAGGAGTATCCGCAATTTGTGACAGCCCGCCGTCCTCGGGGATGATGCCGGGCGGGATGGCGGAGGTGGCCGGCCGGAATAGCGCGACAGAACCCCTAATTGTAGTCATTTGAAATCCGCCCCCAGCGTTAGTGAAGAGCCGAGGAGTGTCCTCATCTCTGACAGTCCGTCGTCCTCAGGGACGAGGCCGGGAGGAATGGCGGAGGTGGCCGGCCGGAATAGCGCGACAGAGGTCCTAATTACAGTCCTTCGAAATCCGCCCCCAACGTTAGTAAAGAGGTGGAAGTGTCCTCACCTGTGACAGTCCGCCGTCCTCAGGGACGAGGCCGGGCGGGTTGGCGGGGGTGGCCGGCCGGAATAGCACGACAGAGGCCCTAATTACAGTCCTTCGAAATCCGCCCCCAACGTTAGTAAAGAGGCGGGAGTGTCCTCACCTGAGACAGTCCGCCGTCCTCGGAGATGATGCCGGGCGGGATGGCGGATGTCGCTGGCCGAATGAGCGTGACAGACGCCTGCAGGCGCGGTCGGTCTTTGGGCCAGCTGTATCGCCACGCCGAGATGAGGCGACTGTAGATGGCGTTCAGCGCGACCATCTTATAATCCAAGCTGTGCCCGGTGTCCAGGGAATGTTTCGCAAAGAAACGCAGGCGAGCGTCCCAACACTTCTTTGCCAAGAGATCTTCCCGCAGTTTCTGTACAAAAATTGTAATATTCCAGAGTCGGATTGGACTTTCGATAATCTGCATATATCATTTATCCGGAAATACCGGTTAATTAGGTTTGGGACAAAAGCAATTGGGGTTGGAAGGCAAAGAAAATATTTAAATTTCTTGGATCTACAAAACTGTTATTTCTGTATATTTATTCTCAGTTACCGTAAACGTTTGGAGGGTTTCCATTAGTTGATGTTTTTATTTGTATCCCTCTCATTCCGAGATGCTTGTGTATTATTCCGATGTCCCAGTCGTTTTACAATCTCTTAACATGACAAGCCACTATGTGTGTGTGTGTGTGTGTGTGTGTGTGTGTGAGTGTTTGCGTTAAAGAACTGGATCCCTCCATCTAGAAGAATGGTGCGACCACAAATACGGGGCCAATTCAACACAGGCAAATATACACAAATCGTAAAGGACCGAGGTTGGTTTATGAAATGTTCTCACATCCCACGGAAGTGAGTGGTACCACGATAGAACCTAGTGGGTCTTGTTTGTGTTGGCTGGTGGAAAGAAGGTGGGGCAAAACCGAAAACCTCACCCATATTCAGGGGAATAGGAAAGAATCTAGTTGGAGAAAGTTTGATCATTCTGGAGTTGAAAGTGTCTGGAAAATGTGCTATATCTGAGGTTGGTGGTGTAGGGATAAAGTGAATATCGCGCTATCAGAGTTTGAATTGTGGTAAAATTTCTTGGTAGTTGGAAACAATTTTGGGGGTTTAAGTACTATTTTATTGTGTAGCCCATACAAATAATACGAGAAAGGACGTGTGGTAACATCATTCGTTTTTAAATGTTTCATTCATTTTTTTATAATCTACATTATAATTACGTTTTTACTAACTCAGCTGAAAAATTAACGTAGATCTTGTTTATTTCCCATATTTGTCAAATGTGTTTTCTGAGGAATATGACTTCATGAGGAAAATATTATTTTTTTGTTGTGGTTATTTCAATGTGAACAATCAATTTTACTCCAAATTCTTTGTATCATATTATGTTTTGTGAACATACCTTCACTTCCATGGGAGACATTTCAGGTGCCATTGTCTGCATTACGTGAGTCAACAGCTCTAACTGCACGACTTCCTCTTCCACTGATTCCTTTTCAGATGCTTCTTCGTTATCAGAAACTGCTTTCTGCCAAAACGAAATTAGTGTCAATGGTATTCTTCGATCCGACACTTAATTAGTCAAATAAGTTCACAGCGATAAATATAACTTTTCAAAATTTTGAGTAAAATCAAATAAGAAAAATGAATAAAAAACAAAATATTACATAAAATCGTATTGAAATGTTGCTTAAAAACAAATATTTTGATGAATAATATGAATATAGTGGGCCTATTTTAATTTGTTGATTACCAATATAATAATCGACATATTTTTACTTCAGCTGTAGGTTGCAAATCTTTCACAAGGAATGTAAAGCGGATGAAGCTAATGTTCTAATTTTTTCTCATAAACGTACGTTTAAACGGGATAATACATAGTACAAGAGAAATGCTCCGGAAAATCGATTTGAGATCTAATTCAAAACACATTTTTTTGGGGCTATCACCGAAAAATGTATTTTTTTACGTTGGTAAACACGCGCTTAGCCCTTTATACAAAACGCTTTAAGGGCGCGTCCATAGCAGCGGCCATCAAAATACTCGAGAGTCCATTGTAGTAATTAATGAAACAAGTTTATAAAGAGGAGTATAATTGTATGAATGGTTTGTTGAAAACGAGTGACGATAAGGGCTAGTTTTCTTATTTACCACGAGTGCAGTCATACCCTTTTATCCACGAGTTATGTTAAATACTTTTTAGGTTTCATTACAGAATATTTTAATTTTCAGAAGTTCAATCATATCTTTTCTATCAGCGGAATGTATCTGAAGACGTCAAATAGGTTCTGAACAAGACTGACTTTATTAGGCCTTGCAGTGTATATTTATGAAAACAATGTCTTAAAGAATAAAGTATGAAATAAGAAACGTTTTAAAATGGAAAATATTTAACGTAATCCGGTTGACATATTAGAAGAAGCTGACAAAGCCATGAAAGCATTACTTTGTACGAAACGTATGGGCATGAATGAGAGAACAACACGTGTTATGTTGGAAAGGAGAAAGACGATTCAGTTCGGACTCTGTCGTTTTGCTGGTTTACTTTTCAGAGCGGGTAAATACAAATGGTGGTTACATTTTTATTTATAATATGTTAAGACAGAAAGTTTTACATGCAAATAGGTGACGTAAACATATCTGTGCATTGTATAAAGCAACTTCTGGGTTAAAATGATTGATTCTAAGTATGAGTAGGGTAATAATTACTAATTTAGCTTATTGTACTACAAATATTAACATCATTGTCTAAGAGGTAGTAATAATTATTCGTTTATAATATTTTTTGAATCGTTCATTGATTACTATGTTTTTGATGTACGTAATTTGCGATGCACATTTTTCTTCATGTTTCATTGCCGTCTAGAAACGTCTATATTATGACATAATTAAACGATTTGGATCAGATGTATACGTAAGCTTCCGCGGCTCGAATCCATGAATTCTCGGCTATCCGGGAGACGCCGCGTCGTTGGCTTTTTTTTTTTTTTTTTTTTTTTTTTTTTTTTTTTTTTTTTTTTTTTGATCAGTTCTTCGAGTTTTGATTGACTGTTGTGGCATTTCAATTGCACAATTAAGTTTTAATTGCACGCATGCCATAAACAGTGATAATCAAAGATTTTGCATGGAATTAATGAGTATATTTAGTTAACTACACGAAAAAATATTTTATCGAATTTTAGGGTTTAGATTTATTATTACTTATCCTGTGGATAAACATGACGTCGACCCGAAACAACTTTTGAGAATAAATGTAAAAAAAGTTATTTTTACAATTATTTTAGTTCACATATATTGAAAGTAGTATGCTAGAATAATCTCTTCGTTAATGCCTCAGACATTCCTTTTTGTTCACCATACACAAAATTAATAATGAGCTCTCTCATAAGTGGTTACAGGTTCAGAAGGCATCAAAATACAGCTTACAGCTTCTGCTTCCTCCAGAATATCATCTGGCACAAAAATATCCTCTGATACTTAGAAATTCCCGGACATTTTTTCTCAATCAGCTTGCATGAGCAGAAAAAGCATTCATATGTTCGATCACAAACAAAGCATCCAGTACCACCAACTCTTGCTGCAGAAAATCGAGAGTAATGACAATTCTTAACTGATGCAAGAGATAAACGTGTATTTTGAATAACTGATAAACTAGAAATAACAAAAATCATTGTATGTAACTCGCCATCTATTAGTCTTTAAGAAGTCAGCCGGAAGGTTTCGGCTTCGCTATAACTCCGCCTCGCAGTTAACCTTTGGCTTTGTTCTTTATTTAGAGGACTTGTGACATTATTAATTATTTTTCAAAAAATTCCGTCTATTTGTTTGTTTGTTCGTCCGTCCGTCTGTCTGTTCATCCGTCCGTTCGTTTGTTCGTCCGTCCGTCTACTCACCTCTTTCTCTTCATCCTGCTTGGGTCTCTTACTGGCTGCTACCAGGATGGCCACCATAGCGCGTAGTAGGTCTGGCGCGGAGTCGAGCAGCACGAGTCGGCCCATGCCCTCTGTGCCGACGCCCTCCGCCTCCAGGCGCGCGGCCGCCTCCAGCGCCAGCAGCCCGCCGTACGAGTAGCCCAGCAGCACGTAGCCGTTGGACGTGGCGTCCCCCGCCGCGCCGCGCAGCTGCTCTTTCACGTGCTACGCAGAGAACATGGAGATGTTTGGCGGCGTTCATGTGGAAGCATCAACGACGGTAATATAGAATTATTGCGTTCTGATCAAAAGCAAATGACGCGCCCTCATAAAGCGATAATTCAAGCCTGAATTTGGGGGACGTTCATTCATTGTCTTGCATTACTAAGTTTTGTTTTCTCCATATTTACTTAAAATTCTTCAAGTTTAATAAGTTTCGGGGCAATACCATTCGTAGGTTTCCGAAAATTTATTTTAAAATAATACAATAATTCGAATCTAAATTGATATCAGACTGCAGAGCGATTTTCTTGGTAATTCAATTGTTTACTTAAAGATGTCAACTTCAGTGGTGCCATCGTCGCGAAAGAATATTATGGCGTATTAAGTTAAAAATGCCTTTGGGAACTGGTCTTTAATCAACTCCACGTACATAGAACGATTTAGGAGGCTTTGGTATAATTCCCGGCATTATCACTAAGATTGCAGTCCCGAAATGCGAAAAAACACATTTTTGGAAATTTATTTGAATCTTCTAGCCGGATCCTAAAATAAATTACCAGTTCATCGGGAGTTGCGTTGAATGACATCTCGTACGTCTCGTTTGGTGTACCGAAAGTGGTCTAGCAGCGAGTGACAGAATCGCACACAACCGCACTTCTGTACATTCGCACGTTCAAGCGTTTTTACTCGAATTCTTTATAGGGATAATTTTATTTACAAAAATTAGTCAAAAATCTGCTGATCTGCAATTTTCGCTTTGATAGCGCTAAAATCTGTACCTGCGCAATCTTTCAATAATAAAGCAACTGTGTGAACGGTGAGATAGTGCCAATGTCTGCCGTTTGAGGAAGCGATAGTCGTGTCAGCTTTGCTGGGCGAGCAGGAATGGCTTGATCAGGGTCAAAAAATGTATGAGAACTGACGTGTAGTTTATTTTACACAAAGCTTGTTCCTAACATAACTGTTATTTTTAATAGTGTAATTCCTCATATATGTGAAATTTGTAAAAAAATATTCTTGAAATTTCGTTCTTCTATTACAGAGGAATTCATTATTTGTTCTCTGATTTCTGAGTGTTTTTATATGTATAGTAGTTAGAGACTTTGTCATCTCTTCTTAAGGCACCCACGTTTTCCATATGAGGCGTGATTCATAACATCCACGTAAAATAAAGTTTCCAAGTGCTCTGCTTCCATTCGTCATATTCCTTCCCGTTACCAATTATGCGAAATAAGTATTGATATTTTAATATTCGGCGTGACCGGGTCTTTCTTTAATATCCAACTCTTGTCAAAGAGAAAAATATCAATTTTATATAAACCTAGGTGTTTAAGATTATTATTTTTATTGTAATTGGTTCATATTTTAATAAAATACTATAATTTTCTTTAATTTTATTTTACGGTACTTTGCTATTCTATTTTTTGATTTGCAATCCCGGCCGAAAGATTAAAGGTCTGGTAAGAAGTGATCGACGTGTATGCAAATGTTCGCAGTGATGGTGGCGGATAGGTTAGGATTAGTGAGTGTGGACAATTGGGCACAACAGGTTGGTTGGTTACCGGAGCATGTGTAGAGAGGGTCCCAAAGTGCACAGCAAACCGCCAAAGAAACTGCCAGCCCTACAACACCTGTTCCGGTGTCGTGACACCGCTTTCCTGGAGCGGAACGTCAAGGTGACGAGAGATTGGGCTACAAGTACAAACCCGAGTCAAAGCGGAACAGCGTGTGCTCAGTTGGCTCAGAAACTGCTGCACAAACTTCAAAGCTGTGCCCTCAATAGGCAAAGTGCTTCTCAACCTCTTCTTCAACGTCCGAGGCCCTGTCCAATCGAATTGCTCGATGGCGGGAAAACCATCAACTGTGACACGTACCGTGAGCCACTCCGTAGCCTATGCACGTCCACAAGTGAAGAAAATCCTGCGCTACTAACGAAGGGGGTGATCCTGCTTTACAAAAAAAGCTAGTTCACTCGTCACACAAAATGTTCTAGTCAAGTTCAAATGAGAGCAGCTTGAGCATACATACTACAACTCGGGCATGACGCCCTACGACGTCCTAATGTTTGGTCCGTTACAAAACTCCTCAAAGCGACTTAGACCTCGCACTGAATGGTTCAGTAGAGGAGTAGATAGTGTCACAGCCATAGGAATTTTGTGGTCCATCGACTCGTGAAACAATAGGATCGTTGTGTTCAGATCTCGGGCGATTACTTGTGAATAAAGATTATAATCATACTGTCGTTTCATTCATTTGAATTTGTAAATGATGTAAATTTATCAACACTTCATTAGGTATACAAAGGAGAGAGAGAGAGAGAGAGAGAGAGAGAGAGAGAGAGAGAGAGAGAGAGAGAGAGAGAGAGAGATATTAGGGGCAGGGTTCAAAACAATACTGATCCAAGTTAAAAAAATTATAAATGTTACGCAGTTTGAATATAAAATATTAAAAGCACATTTAAGAAATATTTGTCAATATTTGTAAAGTACCTTCTCACAAGAATCATTTACTCATATTTCCAAACAACAATATGCGTCCCTTTGTTTTTGTTCCTTTGTTGGCTAAAAGTGAGTGGTGTAGTAGACGCTTCACCCTGTTATTTTCATTATGGGCAGATAATGCTAGCAGTTTCCGTCTCTCTCTTCTCTGTTCTTTTCCCATGTGCTTTGCTTCATGTGGCATTGTCATGGGGAGACTCGTTCCTTTCAATGTTGTCGCTGTTGCATTGTCATCGTCATTCCCGGCTTCTCTCTTTTTTCTGATATGAAAAACCTTTCCAAGAAATTTTGAGAACCAGGAAACCAAGGTTTGCGGTATGTGAATATGATCAACGATCACGGATATTACCACAGCCTGAAGTTTAAAGTAGGTCGTGTGACTTTTCAGGAAGTGTCAGGTTGCGCATTAAACTTTCGTGTATTTAATACTTTTTTGAGAATATTGAAGGAGTATTTATCAGGCCTCATACCGAATGGATTTCGCACCCTAAATTGTGGGATCAGCTAATAAAAGCAATCTGCGATGATTAAACTGAAAGCACGTAATAATGATAAATTTCCGACGGTACCCAAACTGAAATTAACTTGAATTGAAGACCATGAGTCCGTATTGACATCTTCGAGAAAGAGGTCACTTCTAATGACACTGAATTAAGAGCACACCAAATGAGACATCAGAGTAATGTGTCTGCTCTTACCTGAAACAAGCTGTCAATCATTTGTGGAACGTCAGGCTTCAGGTCTCGGAATGGCAACTGCAGTACGACGGATTTAATGGAGAGTCCGCGAGCTAGTGGTTCCAAGGGTACCGCAACGCCCTCCACTCCGGGGAACATGATCGCTTGTGTATCTCGAATCGCCACGTCGTTGGTCACATTGGAAGTCAAGGGCACTACGATCTTGCTAGCAGTAAGCTCATCAGCCAACGCCTTGACCAGTTGGCGCAAGGCGTTCTTCGCAAGATTTGCCCTCACATCCACTGTGAGGGCAGCGGACGGGTCGATCTGAGCTGGGGCGGTGGGCGCTGCTTGGGCAGCTGCTGGCGAGGAGGCCACCGGCGCCGCCCGCGCCTTCTTCTCCTTGGCCTCCTTCGCGCGCTGGTACTCGCGCAGGCGGCCGAAAGTGAGCGCGCGCACGTCCTGCGGGCTCAGCAGGATGTCGAAGTCGCGCGCCAGCGTCTGCTGGATCTCTCTGCAAATTAATTTCAAGCAGAATATTAGCGTATTAAAAAAGCTGACAATTTTTTTAAAAAACAGTTTAAGACCCCAAAAATGCATTTCGACATGTCTGCAGGTTATCAAAGAGTAACTGGCTATGCGCCCAGAAGCCCGTTCAGACTCCTACACACTTTCAAAGCTGATAAATTCAGTTCACGAGCCTAACGTAGGCTAGAAGAAGACTGCTGTTTTGCCGTGGAACGCGGTGCTGAATGAAGATGCTAGCGACCACACGGACTAGCAGACGGGAGCCTGCGGGGTGGAAGGGTGCGGGTGAAAGGAGGCTTTTTTCCCAACGCTGCGTATATCGCCTGATCGAAATCTAATTACGACTTCTAGTACTCATTTATCAAATAAAATATATGACAACTCCCAGGGGCTTTCATGTAGACTACTTCGAAACATCAAGGATTCGTGTTCCAAATTCGCAAGGCGCTCGGGCCGGACCAGAGTCAGATTCGGGGAAATATTCGCGTTTAATTTTTGCAACATCTTCTACGGAAAAGGCATGTTATTACGGCACGGATGTTTTGAAAAAAACAGATTTCCATTCAGATATATAAGGAGTCCTCAGGTGTAATCCGGTGAACGAGGAGAATGAGCCAGCCACCTACATACCAAATCTTTTCGGCGCCCCAGGAGAAAAGCGTGGGAACTGAAGCAGTGAACGTGCACCGCCGCCGAGCCGGCGACTGGGAGGCTGTCCGGACGGAACCCCGCCACCGTGGTGGTGTAGCGTCGGCCCGGTCATGCGCATCCCGAGGAGGACGTGGAGAAGGAGATCTGTCCGTCTCGTTCCGCCTCGCCGCGCAGCGCGCGCGCGCGCCACCGCCCCCGCCGACGTCAGAGGCGCAAGGCCACCCCGGCGCCACCACGCGCCGCCGCCCCCAGGCCCCAAATCTGTTGGCCAAGACCCCAGAGGCGACCGAGGGCCGACAACGACGACGAAGAGGAGGAGGACGACGATGCCATAAGAAGAATGGAAAGTTTTGGCTGGCCGTGGTCGTGACGAGGTAGCCCGACTGTCGAATATGGGGCGCCAGCACTGTATCAAGTGATGCGCCTGCTGCGGTACCAACTACCAGGGGCTCTCATGCGCTGCATTCCACTCTGCCAGTTCGGGATGCTAACAAGATCTCCCAACAGATAAATACAAATGGCCCTGCTGTACACTGCGTGGCCAACAGATGTTGATTTCTAATGATATTATGTTACGGAGACAAGCCCTTTATTGTGCTTAAAGTTGAGATTATTGTCCTCTCTTAATATGCATTTATATGTCAATTAC